GACACGGCAAAGCGATTTCTGAAAAGGTCCATAGGTAATGATGAGCAGTGGGAGACCGTGCACCTGAGCTCAAACACAGAGAAACAGCTTTGGGCAATTCGATGGTCTGATGACGCCACCACGGCCCAAGGGCTCCTGGATGACACCTAAGCGTGGGACCCGCACCGCTGAGGCAGCCGGATTCTCAAAATGAAGTTTTTTTAGGGGCGAAGCTTCTTATAGCGGCACCCGTTTGTCCCTCGTAGCCGTTGTAGTAGTGTGTAACAAGTATAACATTTTGACCTCCAAGGTGGTACCGGTGAGAGATTTCTTCTGTGCTTTGTTGAACAACAAAAAATTCGCAGCGTGCGCGTTAACTAAAACCCGACTTCTCCTGCATCTCACTCCCCCTTAGCAGCCATTGGCATGTACATTGAGCAATATATCTGGCAAGAAATGGTTGCTACGTTATACTCGCTGGGTGTAACCTCCTTGGTTCTAAAAAGGTTTAGCGAGCGTTGGGCCGCAGTTCCATGAATACAGTGAACTAATATATACCATGAACTCGAGGTGGTTAAAGGTGGGAAGTAGACACGAAGCGCAAGCCGTAAGAAAGTGTGCGTGTGCCTCCTCTCGTTCAGTCCTTGGAATGTCCGCTGGATGGTGGTGCTTCTATATGAGGAATATATGATGAAAAGATGCGAGATGGTGGTACTTGGACTGTACTTGGAGTGTTGAATAGGTGGACGAACGGACACATAAACAGATGCATGGACGGATGGACGCATGGACGGATGCAGGAGCGGATGCATGGACGAACGTAAGAACGGACGCACAGATGGACGTGTGAACGCACGAACAGACGCACGCACGGACGGGCGGATAGACGCATGGGCGGCCAAACAGATGCACGCATGGATGGACGGAAGCAAGAACGAATGGACGGACGGATGCTTCGCTTCACTATACATAATTCACTCCGTGGATATGCTGCCATTTTTTTTCTCCTCCTCCTCCTCCTCCTGCTGCATTGAGCAGTGTCACCGTTGGCGTTGTCGATGTAACCTATTTGCAACTTCCAGGTACCGCGGCGCCGCTGAGCGGTGGCGGCAGGAAGCTCTGTTGGGGGGATTAAAGTTTTGAACCTCGTTCAATCGGTAGACGCTGCTGCTTGTTTTCACGCGTTTGTGGTCGTTTTTTAACGTTGTGAATAGCTTCGGTATCACCCTAACCCTTTTATTTTCTCAAGTTAAAAGGAGAGTAGAAAGAAAAAGAAAAGGCCGACTGATTTCACTGCGAGCCTCGATGCTCACAGCCTATACACCTTTTCAGAGGAAGGAAAAAAACACCGCCATGATGGGCTGTGCACGGAAGTACAAAGGCTAAGGGCGCAGCGTTGTCAATGAATTTTCGAGGGGACGCGCCAATTTGCACAGCCCAAGGAGGGCTATGGCGGCGCCCAGGGAGGCGTTTATGAAAAGGTGAATATACCCCGAAAGAAAAATTAAGCGTATCGTTCTAATTAGCGCCCCAAAAAGCCATCAGAGGTTATGATGGATAAAATTAGCAGGCGAATACCCGAGGCCCGTGAATGCATGCAGCACCCGTTTTCTGCACGAGTACAGCAACTTCCAGATTTCCATTTCTCGCACTTAGTTCGTCTGCTCGATACGATACAATTTGCCCATGTTGATCTTCCCAATATGCTACCCAGCACCTATTTACTCAATATAGTATGTTAGCACTTCCCTACTTTCTCAAAAATATAAATCCAAGGGCCACCGAAGCGTCAAGAATGGCAGTTTTCGCCAAACGTGTACGTCTCTTTCGGGGCGATCATCTTAACGACCGCCATTGTTGGATGTATAGTCGCCCCACCAATAAATAGGTCGTGAAAGTTGCGAATAGAGCGGGCGAAAACGAAGGAGTGAGAGTGGTGTGTTCGGTATCACGAGCCAGCGGCATGAGTCACCAGCCCCTATAACCTCGCTTTCTACCTCCGCCACGCACGCTAGCCTCTCGGTTTGTGCGTGTGCGCACGCATGTAGGGCTGGCACGTGCAATGCGACTTGCTTCGCTTGTTTTAACGGAAATATCGACGTGTCGGTCTATTTGCGACCCCTGCATTACACAGAGTGTAGGGCGTAGCGTATGTGAGTGAATGATATGAGTTGTGTCTCGCATGAAAAATGTTTGCAGAAGCCGTGTTGACCAGGTGTAAAGAAAGAGTTGGATTCAAGCAAGGTAATGAGGTTGGTGAAAATTATATTGTCTAATAGCTTACACGAAGTGCTTGTTAGAAAATAGGGCGATAACTTTTCGGAGAGAGTTTATTACCCGACTTAAAAATTGGCACTACCTTCCCAATTTTTCATTGTGTAGGAATCTTAGTAAGTCGTCGACGAGGATTTGTTTCATATTCTGCAGCGTGCAAGTTTCATAAGTTGCTGTGATCTATGACCGATTTCTCCGTACTTTCATGTTGCATGCCCTGCTACCCAACTTTACAGATATACTTCGCACGTCATAAAAAAAAAAAAGACGTCTTATCTATATTCACGTGAACCCTGTCAAAGGAGGTGTGGGTTCAAGGAGAAGGGCGTCTGACTCGAAGGGCTCAGCGAGGTCGTTTCGATGAGATTACACAACCTCTTCTTTGAAGATGAAGTCCTCTTAGAAGGTCAATGCATAGAAGCTCTGGTCATCCATCAAAGGGAAGTCGGGGCAAAACTCTCAGTAGTTCATCGCTCCATATCGTCTCGCCCGCAACTACTTGGGAGGCTTTGTCGTCCGATCCGCGTTTCAACATCAGTCCCGAGAGGATTAGCGCTCGCATTAAGGGTATTTTAAATTACTCGACCATGAAATCAGCCAGGAACTTGCGTGTGCGTGTATATGCAAGGGTCGTCCGGACTAGCAAACCCGCCTAGCAAAGCAGGGGTTTGTTTCGTGAGTATGGGCTGTTTTATTCCAAAGTGCTAAGCATGCGATACCATTATTGGGTAATGCAGGCCCGTCACCAGAGGGAGTGCCCAGCGCCTACCCTTCCGCCTCCGCAGATTCTGGAGGAGGGGGACGTTTTTCCGAAAACAAGTGATGAAAACAGGCGTTTTTTTTTAATAGTCGAGGTCTTCAGAGAAGGATCGGCGCTTCACTTTTTTTCTCCTCTACTTCCTTTTTTTTCACGAAATGTACTTTGCATCATAATAAAATGTCTTTAAGTGTGCCCCCCCCCCCCCTTCGGCCTGGAAAATATTTCTTGCTGCGGGTCAGGGTATCGATATTTGTGGCGCGATACTTGCAGAGAACTCTTTAGCTGCCCTCCAACTTGCACGGGCGACCAATGCGCCATATGTGGCTGACTGTCAGACTTACTAGGTAACTTTTTCGTTAATCTCTTAGAGGAACATGTTGAAACTTATCGAACTACAGCTTGTGAAGGTACAAGGCCTATCTACCTGGTGTGAAAGCCCAACATTAGTGTTGAAGGGAAAGCGGGTTTGATGAATATGTCTAGCCGGTCATAGTATAGAAAGTTCGGCAGATCCCACGTACAATGAGAATCGATGTTATGGAAGGTGAATTTGTTGTATTTTTATTGAGTAAAAAGCTACGAAATTATGCTAATGATACGTGCAAGTGCTGTGAACGCCAACATTTGTCGAACAGTGGCATATGCTTTAGGTAACCAGTAGGTCGCACTTGTGCAGTGATGGCTACAACAACATTACCAATACCACAAGCGGTAAGCTTATATACATGTAGCACTTGAGCTCGCGAGGATGGTAGCCCTGGCTAGTGCTGTGTGAACAACGTCAGTGGATGGTGATTAAGTTACAATTAGCGTTAATTCAAAGTGAATCCAGTATCATAGGAGTACGTATGTAGCGTATATAAAATTGAATACCCAGCCCTGCAACCACTAGTATTTCACCAACATTATGTCCGCATAGGCTCTTTTTCCAAAGGAGTACCGAGACGTGGCTTGGCTCTTTGCTGGAATGGTTGGTTGCCACGCAGAATGCTTGGGCTCGACTCCTATTGAGACCCCAGAATTCGACCCCAAGATAACATTTGCATTCGTTAGGTCAACACAGCCGATGTAAATTTTTCTTAACGATCTCTCATTTAAACTACCTGAATCTGTTCTCGCGTTTCCTCGATAGACATTAACTGTCAGACGCCTGGGCCGCATTCCCGCATGCCACGGACCATACTATACGTGTATGTACCACTCGTGTCTGTAAGAAAAGGTTTGACGGCGTACGCTTCGGGACTTTCTGATCATTCATGTCATGACTGGACAGCCATCATAATCGTTCAAATTTCTTGACCTCCGACACTAATTTTGGTCTATCCCATGTTAAAAAGGTGATCACGAGAGCACGGGGGCACGATCAGCGCGTCAGCAGCTGAGTACCCTATAGCCATGGACAGTACACCTCGGCGGGGTTATCCAGGATTTTATTTCGGCGAAAGGGGAGGTAGTGAGGGTTCGTGTGTGTGAACCGAAAAATTTTCAGGTGGTAAACTACCAAGACCCCGTATGGGGTAGTCCACGTCAGCCACGTGAACAGGTTCATGTTGAAAGGACTTTTCCTCAACACTCGGAATCTCACCCGATTCCAGCAACGAAAGACGAAGAACCGCGGAGGGGCGAAATATGCCGCGGTATTTTCGTACGTCTAGTTTACAGCTCGTCGGGTACTGGATGTGGCGTAAGATCGGGTTACAGAAAATGAGACCAAGTTGCAGCTAGCTACGGCATTTAATTGTCATCCAGCTATCTTAACGCCTTCAGTGCACAATTGTCTGATTTCCGCAAAAGAAGTATGAAAATGAAGCAATCGTATATTAATCAAAACCTTACCCTATATATGACGCGAGTAGGCGGGGCAGAGTTCAGGAGCATGGCGAACCACCTTCGTCAAATAGTCTGTCCTAGCCCATCAGTTTCTGCGGTTACGACAGCTATGCACCAAAGCCATGGCCGCTACGTGGTAATTGAATGCATACGTCTGTCAAAAATTGTGCGTGTCGCTGTGTCCCGAAGACGTACGCAGCGAGCCATCGGCCAAGCTCCTCTGGCTCCTGAAACTCATCGGACTTATCTTGCCCACAGGACAACTATCGAGCGACTTCTTCATGTGGTCAATGGAGGCCTTGCTGGAGAATGAGGCGTGCCTCTTAGCAGCGACGTCGCTGACAGCGCACTCGATTCCTGCAGGAGGAGGCAGGTCGGAAATCACGAACAGCGACACCACGAGCAAGAGGGCAGTCGTACCGAATGCCACGTCCTCGCGACCCAGCTGCTGCAGCACAAACGTCGAACACGCGCAGCCGACACCGACGCTTCCACAGGCCAGTGCCCAGCACAAGGCCACACCGCGCACGGCAGTAGGGACTATCTCCATGATGTACGCGATGCTCACTCCGACGGCTACGGCTAGAATGCCATGCGAGAGCGCGAGTAGCACGGTGGCCACGGAGTAAAAGCTGGCGGTAAAGCTCAGCAGGCAGTGGGTACAGCCGGCGACTGCAGAGGAGACGCTGAGCACTTTGACCAGGGCAAACCGGGTAACCATCATGTACATTGCCATGTAACTGAGCAGCGTACCAACGAGCACGACCACCATAAACCAAACGCTCCTGTCTTCGTTGTCATCGCTTCGCATCATTATCGAGATTACGTCCGTGAAGGCACTAAACATGAGCGAGAATAGAAAGGTGAACATAGTCAACGCTCGCCGCCGGACCGATCTAGCGTCGAGCAGCAGGCGTTCATGGTCGGACGCAGGGGCGCTGTTCCGGTACTTCCAGCGATCCCGCCTTAGTTTGTCCATGAGACAGGCTGTGCCGGACAAGGGAAAGTGGTTATGCTCAGCTGCGCTCATCATCACTGCTTCGGCCTCTTCCAGATGCCCTTTCGCAATCAGCCAGCGCGGTGATTCTTGCACTACCACGAACGCAGCGAGAAGAACAAGTGTAGGTGAAAGAAACACAGCTTGTTTCAGTTGCCAGCTGAGTTTCAAAACTCTGATGATCGCAAACCACACGTCCCCTAGCAAGAAGCTCGCTGTCGCAGAAAAGATGATGTACAACGGTCTGTGTTCGTGGACGGTGACTTCAAACGAGACGATCACGGTACAGGTGGCGCAGGCAAGCACGCTTCCGTACACAAAAAACACTGCCAAGGTGTACATTACGTAGTCAGTGGCCAGGCAACCGGCTACTGTCGACACAATCGCAGCTGTCGTCATCACTAGAAGAATGGGCATCCTGCCGAGAAGGTCGGCCGCGGTGCCGGACAACAGCAGGAACACGACGGAACCCACTTGTTGCGCCGCCATTATAACGGCGAGCAAGGCACGTCGGTCGCAAACTAAGCTCCAGGCAGTAATTAGCGATGTCGAGGCTTGAGCCTTGTCATAGTCCCAATCGTAGCACTTGACTACAGCCAATGTGTCGTTTTCCGAGTACCCTGGGTTCTCGAATACGTAGCAGCGGCTGTGGCGTCCGTCAGCTCCAACGGGTATGGCAACATTCTTCCACGCATCCGCCGAGATGTTGGATCCGGCCGGTCTCTTGCACCAGTGGTCCACGTCACTCGAGATGGCGGGAATCAGTACTATTTGCCCGTTGACCAAGAAAATGGCGATGGTGCACAGGATCAACAGCCGCCATTGGAAGACGCCGTCACCGAAGCCTTCTTGACAGTCGAAGCACTCGCTCGTCAAAAGGTCGGAAGCCGCGAGTCGCTTCGGGAAAAAGAGAGCCATGACTTTCACTCGGAGGTCTCTGAGGTCACTCGAACCACCGTAGCTTCTGTGCTTCGAATGCTGCCAAAGACGAGGTGCATAAGCGCGAGGTGCCTAGAGATAGCTTAATCTTCTTTGCAAATCGCGGCGCATGCCACACTGTAACGCGAGACAGCCTGATGCAATGATGATATGATGATGATGAAACTCTTTGGAATATTGGCACGTGCCCACTCAGGGGATCGGCCAAGAGTCAGGAGGATCATACATTTTGAATTTATTTTTAAAATTTTGTTGAGCTACAACAAATTAGAGATGAACTTTTTAATGTAACGCTGATTATGAATGATTGTAATTTAGACTGCACTATTTTGTGTAACATCCCAGTGAACAAATATTTTTGGACTAGGAAGACAGAATAAAGAATTATTAGTGATTGATACAACTACCAAATCTATTCGAGTCACATATAAACTTTTCAACAGCTTTGAAAATATTCCTGTCTGAGTGTCCCAGCGCAGAAGCTCCAAATGGCAATAGAACGGCCGACGTAATCGGTATACCACATTGCCGCAATAAAATTAGAATACTTTGTTTTCGGTGTATGGAAAGACTTCGGCAGCTCAACAAGGAGTGTTCGATAGTTTCATGTTCGTTGCAATAGAAGCAAAAAGAGGAGATCGCCAAGCCCATTCTGTGCTAATAAAAATTTAAATTTGGAATTCTAAAACGGATTTTGGTAATTACAAATTCAGCCCGTCTTGCTACGCACCATTTTCTACTCCAAGGGAACTGTAGGTGCAGAAAGTCCGGTGATGAATCGAGACTTGGAGTAAGCACAAATAATGCATAGTTTCTGAACCTTTCTGCAGCGACAAAACGTCGTTACTAGAAGGAGACAGAGAACAAAGTGAAATGCATGTATAGTCGACGAAAAAGAAGAAAAAGAAACATTAGTTGACCATGTTTATTGCTCGCTTTTTGATTTACGAACGTTGTTCTGTTGGTTGTCAAAACTCAGTGATCAAAAGTTCTAACAAAGTCATGTAATTAGTTCTTAGCAAATCCCCTGATTGGGCATGATCCATGCTAGAGGCAAGAAAAACAATGAACAGAGCCATCTAAAAGAAAAAAATATCAATTACTAGAAGTTATAAGACTTTGCGCGAAAAATAAGACGAAAGAAAGTACACTTATAATTTAGATAAGTTCAAACTATGAAATTCTTATTTTAGGAATTACGAATGCTTGGAAAACATAACATGTATAATCAAACAACATCATCATCACATGATCAGGCTCTATCGTGATATTAAGGTAATCTATTTTGTTGAAGATGAAGTACTGACGCGCAACTAATGTACATGTCTACTGCGCGCGCTATGTTAAAAACTCGAGGATCTCCCTAAAAGCTATGATCGGATCGCGCCAAAAGTTTTGTCTGAGTATTGAACGGCAGATGCAGCGCTTACCGTACTTTGCCGAAATACTCAAAGAGTAATCAATTTCCATAGTGAAACTTGTGACCGACTATATATAAATGCTTAAAGCAAACGTACCAGCTGTCCACAACGAATGCACCACCTAACTAATGACCCGGCTGGCACGGTCTTTCACGGCTACGATGACAGTGAAAACACTCTGCCATGATACCTGCTCGATTCAAGCTTACTATGGTTCTGCCATGGTCTTGTGTGGGAATTGTGTTTATAAACAACAGTTCGTCTACAGTGTCGAATCGGTCATCCTCGGCAAGGTACTTTTCGGGTCACGAAGAACACCTGAGGGTATTTCGACGAATACGTAAATGTTACAGCACCACATACTCGCAGTGGGTGGCGTGGAGCGGGCTCCATTCCAACAGCGTACGCTGTGACTGTGCTGTGCATTCCTCGCTGGCCTGATGGTGGCTCTCTGAAGAATACTAAAGTTTAACTGCACATTTACTTAACAAACAATTATGGGTACAACCAGGGGCACAGGTACAACTTTTTTCCGGGGGAGGGGGGTGGCACCTCTTACAAATGGTAATTTTTCGCTCTGTACGACATGACGGGAAAAATTTCGGGGATTGGGGCATCGGCCCCATGTGCCACCCCCTGGTTACGCCTCTGGTTACAATCATTTCCACTTCAACTTGGCTCACTGTAATTTGTTGGATGGGGGGCTAGAGCACCGCAAGGCCCCACTGATGGAACCGGATCAGCTCGTTCGCTGGGTATCGCTTGTGCACTTATTTGTATCAGAATGAAAACAATGCTTATTTACAAGGCGAACGATAAGTCTGCGTCCTGCATGCAGTATAAATCACAAAAATCACTGTCGAGGTCACTAATGACAAGTCATTCACTCTGAAAAATATCGAGTAAACAGGGTGTCTTTTTGTCCCACAATAATAATCGCCATCCGGCATGCTGGAACTTCCTTTCTTAAAGAAAAAAATGGCGGCGTATCCACGGGGTGAATGATGGAGAGTGGGGTGAAGCATTCGTCCGTCCATTCGTTCTTGCTTCCGTCCGTACATGCATCCGTCTGTGTGACTGTCCATGCGTCTATCCACCCGTCCGTGCGTGCGTCTGTTCGTGCGTCCACACGTCCATCCGTGCGTCCGTCAATAACGTTCGTCCATGCATGTGCCCCTGCGTCCATCCGTCCGTGCAGCCATCCATGCGTCCGTCCATGCACCTGTCTGTGTGTCCGTTCGTCCATCTAGTCAACACTGCAAGTACCACCATATCGCATCTTTTCATCGTATATTCCGCATATAGAAGCACTGCCATCCAGCGGACATTCCAAGGACTAAACGAGAGGTCGCACACGCACACTTTCATACGGCTTGCGCTTCGTGTCTACTTCCCAGCTTAAACTACCTCGAGTTCATGGTATACACTAGTTCACTGTATTCATGGCACTGCGGCCCACGCTCGATAAACCTTCCTAAAACCAAGGAGGTTACGCCCAGAGAGTTTAACGTAGCAACACTTTCTTGTCAGATAGTGCTCAATGTACATGCCAATGGCTGCTAATGGGGAATGGGAGACTGGAGAATTCGGCTTTTCGCTAACTCGCACGCTGCGAATTTTTCATTGTTCAACAGCGCACAGGAGAAATCTCCCACCGGCCCCACCTTGCAGGACAAAGCGTAAGACATGTTACGTACTACGACGAGGATTGAACGGGTGCCGCTTTAAGGAGCATCGCCCCTAAAGCTCGCCGCTGGCCACTTTCTTATCAACAACCAGTGTAACGCTGATAAGGAGTTTGTCGTTCGTGACCTGAAAGTACCGGACGTGTGGCGATAATGCACGCGTTCCTGGCCTTGCAAGTACCATGGACAGGAACGCAGAATAGATGAGGATTGTTGCTGTGGGACAAAAGGATACCCATTTTACTTTATCTGTTCCTATAGTTGCTTACGTGGGGAACGTGAGGATTTTGCACTATGGTCGTTTACTAGTACGTCGCGAGCAGTACTCGCGCGAGTTGCTGTCTCTCCATGGTGTCACACTGCAATGATACGTCACCAAGTGCCGCTCCCTAGATGTCGAAATCGAAAGTGCTTAAAATATAATCGATGCATTCTTAGGCCCTACAATTGTGCGTTTTTGGGTTCTCGACCCCAGTGTTTTCATTTAGTGCAACAATCTAAAGATATTTTATATTTGTATCAGTACTTTCTGAAGTATTCTACCGCTTTTGAGAAAACATGTTTCACATGCGTGTTATGAGTGGATGGAGAAAAAAATGAAGTCTAACTACAGCACAGTCTCTAAATGTTCGTAACATATCATTTTCCTAAGGTGTATGAGCAAAGACCTTCTCGGAGGTGTTAGTCTAAGCTATATATCTAGAAGACGCACTTTGACTACTATCGCTAAAGGTGTCCGGCGGAGGTACTCCGCTGTTAGCAACACTGTATTCATTCAAGAAGATGGCGCCGACGCCGCCAAAAAAGCAACCGGCGTCAATATTTCCGGAGCCTTCTGTCGAGGTAACAATTACTTGACTGCTGACTGATTTGAAGTCTCTTCATGAACATCGCTTCTATATTCTGTATGTCCATTACAATAGTAATATATTTGCAATATTGCAAACAACAGCATGTCGAGCGGCACGTTCCCTGCTCGAAACCGCGAGCTTGTCGATTGTTTACACAGAAAACCTCTATATGCCGGCGATATGTCGCGCATGCTTCGTTCCGCGTTGTGACGATCTTACAGCCACTTCTCGGCAGCGTACTGCATTGTGATTTGTCCAACTGTCGTGTGATATCAGCGTGGCATTCGGACCTCTTGAAGTGCAGACCGATCGACACGTGAACTGTGTCGTCTGCTTGTGGCATTGGCGAACGTGTGAAGTCGCGCGTTATTTTTTTGTCTCTGTCGCTCTTCACGACGGCACTAGGCCTGCTTCTTAGTGTAAGTGTTGACCGAGATAGGCGTCCTGTCAAAAGCAGTTTAGTTTATTCCAAGCCTCTGCAAACGTATCTCGCTGACCGCTCTGCTTTCGGAGATCGCTGCATTCCCTCTCCTAAACCATTGTGACAAAACAAAAAGCGAAAAAGAGACAAACACGCTTTCATTCACTCCCATTTGTTTCTGAAGTAGTTATAGCCCGCTCTTCAGGATCGTGCTTGTTGAACGCTGTGCTTGTGTAGTTAACTTAAATTCAGGTGTACCATACCCGCGTCACTAGTAAGCTAGCGCGACGTGATCTGGCCTTCACCATCCGTAGTTACAAAGCAAACAGTGCTGTAGAACCTGCCACGGTGGTCTAGTATAGTCATGGTGCTCGAATGCTGACGCGCAGGTTGCGGGATCGAATCCCGGCCGTGGCGGCCGCATTTTCGGTGGAGGCGAAAATGTTTGAGGCCAGTGTACTTAGATTCTGGTTCACGTTAAGCAACCCTTGGTAGTCGAAATCTCCGGAGCACTCCACTACGGCGTCTCTTATAATCATATGATGGTTTTGGGACGTTAAACCCCGATATCAATTATTAACAGTGCTCTAGAGCACTGTTAATAATGCCTGCCTACTAATGACAAATGCAGTTACGTCTGGATTAATTTTGGCATATTTTTCAAGTCGCTAGAAAAAGGGCACTTCATGAGTGTTCTAGAGTTAAGAAGTAGTTTGTTTTCCCCTTATTCGAAAAAGCATCGTGCCTGCAGTGCACATTTTGTAAACTCCACCATTTTGTCGAAGAATTAACTGATGCGATGTGGTTCTCCTGTGATTTGTTGTTGTTCTCCTGCTATTTGTTTGTTTGTGGTTGTGAAAATCCAGAAAATGTGGTAAACCTAGATTTTCAATGAATTCTAACTGGCCTCGAGAGTTGGTCATGTCTCAGTGCATCATGAAACAAGAACCTCATCACACGTGCTGAAAGTTAATCGAAGTCCATCTATTACGTCTCTTGTGGAGAAAGGGTTAATCAATACAAATAGTCACTCTTTGACATTGTTTTAGATGTCATGCCTTCATTGCATTCTTGAGCACTTGTTACACGTTACTTCGTCACTCTTTGGTTGCCGTAGTTCAGTAATTGGTGTGCACGTTCAAGAGATCTGGGAAACTATTCATCTCTTACGACCCATTTGTAAGGGTGTTATCATTGCTGCTTCGGGGTTGGCTCTTAATTTTTCTTGGTTTTCTACAGCCCATTCAAGCCACAGCCATCGTAATTATTCACCCGGGGTCTATGTTCTTGAGGATAGGACGAGCCTCTGACTCCTACCCTCATACAATACCACATGTCATTGCCAGGCCGTGCCTATTAGAAACATCAGCACCTCATGTTGACCCCATTCTCATTCCCGAGGTTGACATGGTAAGTGCTTTGTGTCCATTCCGCGTGTTTGTCTTTTTATGTGTTTTAAAGAACTGACCAGAACTCATCAGGTAAATCAAGGATTTACAATATTTGTGGTATTGGCTATGCTCTTACTATCCATGTTTACCAAAGGCTTCTCGAAAGCTCATAGTAACTTCTCATGGAAAAGCATACAAGTTGCTTTTGTGAATGCATAGGCTGTTTTTTTTTAGAGATACGTTGTAAGCTGCGTGCTGCTACAGGAGCTACAAGTTTCACCCCAGAGTTATTGATCACGTTAGGTGTCTCAGAACTTAGTTGGTGCGGGTTCATCATTCGGACTGTGCAGCATTAAAAAAAAAAACCTGGACGGAAGAAGTGCACACGACATGAAATTCAGTTGAGATTGGGTGCACATCATGAGCAGTTATTCTGTCCTTCTTGCGAGTGCTATACTGTCTTGAACATGGCTCCTATATTATAGCACGTAATAAGCGTCGTGATGCTGCTTGTTGCTTGCATCTATGATGTAAATCGCAGAGTAAAAGATCACTGAAAAGACCACTGTGCATTTTGAGGATCACTGCTGCACACGTAGGAAGTCGAAATATGAATTATTCTCGATAAAGCATGCATAAACACAGCTTAAAAGCTATAGACAGCGTTCAAGGCAAGTGTAAACTAGCCTGCCAAACTTGTTTGTAAACTGAAGTATAAAACTATCAAGTTGTTGGGAATCGAGAGTGTGCAAACATGCGCCAAGTAGCTAAATCTGTATGTTCTGCAGGGTGGATGTGGCATTGACTGCGATGGTATACCTCTTGTCAACTTCCTGTCTTCTCTTCAATGCTTCCATTTTCTTTGTAATTTCTTTGTTTATATTTAAGCATAGTTAAGTTTAACTTGTATTCTATCAGGCCTGGTTTGCTGTAAACAGCAACAGTATTGAATAAATTCGTGTTACTTTTTTTTATTGTTCAACTGTGTATGACATTTTTGTGCATTGTGCTTATCAAAACAAGCCTTCAAATAAAATGGCACTGGCTATCACATCTGCAGTTCTGACTATGAAACAGTTCTTGCATTTTGCTTGCATCTTCCTTTTAATCAGATCATTTTATTGCACTGTGTGTACTCATTACTTTACAAATTAGACGATTGGTATTCACAAGTATCACTGTCAGAGACATACAAATGTATATATATATTCACTATTCGGTCTTCAAACAGATTTATTGTCTTATAACAGATAATTCTTATTGTGTGCACGACACTTGGCTGTCTCCTTTTGTGTTGCTTTGCTTTTTAAAACATTGCAGGTGATCTTAGATTGCTCAGAAGCTACTTGGTTGATACTCTGTTGAATGTGCACTTTAACCTAGGAGCCAGAGGTCATGGCCACTATTGAAGAAGGTTGCGAAGTTGTCGGAAACCTCTTGGCATCTTGCTTGACCTCAGAAGGGAGGATACGATATACTTTCCCTACTGACAAGGTGAGTGCTTTTGTATGGTGTGAGAATAGTACACCCACGCAACTTTAAGGAATGCATTTCACTTTTAAGCTGAAAAAAATAATGCGATACCTAAAATCCACCCTATTAAAGGGCCCTGCAACACTTTTCAACCATGGTCAGAAAACGCTGCCGATCAGTAGTAGCGGCTATCAAGAACACGCGAGCCATGTATAATGCAGCATGTGGCCCCGAATTCACAATAAATTCTCAGTTGGCTAAAAATTGCGTTCTCTTATATTGATAAATGGTAGAACAAGCTGGAAAATCACTCGTAATAGCCGATGTATCAGCCATCGGCTGATTGGAACATGGTGCGCTAGGTCGTTATGGGAAGCGCCACCGCGGGAGACCAGGACTTGCCCTGGCGTGCGCGCGCCATTGCACTAAAAGGCCGCGTATTCGAAGAAAAAAAAAATCAAAAGTGCTCAAGGTTACGAGGCACGCATGACGTGACGTATTTCCTGCCCCCGTGCTATCCCTTCTTGCTTAGCTTCCAGGGCTTTCGTTCAGATGAGAGGAGAGAGAATGCAATCGCAGCTTGCGACAAATCTTTCTAACACCGCTGATGCTTGACCGATCTTAGAAACTTTTGCAGCGGTGAATTCGTGAGTCAATAAGCTCCTTTAGTGAATCCATTTCATTGCTACTGAAAACGTGTTGCAGGGCCCTTTTATGAGGCATTATATTTATATATATTTAGGGATCTTTTGCTACAATATCTTTAAAATTGGCAGAACGAAGGTAGCACGCAGTGTCATCAGTGTGAGATCATTAAGCCCAGCTTGCCTCATTGCTTCGTTCCTTTTTATCTGCTGTTCGCTATCGTTGTGGGAGGCTTGTTTTAAGCTCTCAGTGCAACCATTCATTCTCTTCTAGATCAATTTCAGCGCTTCCTTCCAGGAATACCTTCCATCTAGTTATGAGTGCTAGGCATAACTTGAATATAGGTAAATCTCACGCTGGTGGATAGAGGAGACTAGCCAATGCTGTGTCCTACTTAGGCTGCAAAGTATGCAAGCAGTAATGCTTACACAGTTTATATGGAAGTTCCTGCTCATGTTTAGACAAAAGAATGATCACATTTCTCATTGCCAACGACAAGAGTGAACAGAAATTTAATAAAGTTTAGTGGTGTAAGCATGCCTCACTGCAGGAGTGAGTTTATGGCCCCTGTAACAGTTGCACTTCGATTACTGCTAGCAAGGAACCAGTGTGTCAGTTCCACATGAGTGGAACAGACACAAGCCACACTTTCTGATCGCACCTCTGATTCTACAAGGGCTTGTAGCACACTTTTTATCGTTAAAAATGCATCACTGTGGCTTAGTAAATTGCTTCACTGACAATAATCATTACTGACATCATCACTAGTGTCATGCGACTGAACATTGCCTTTTGCAGCTCATCAAGCGCAATTGTGTTCATTATTCAACCCTACCTTTTGCTTTCTTGCATTAGTAATATCTATGTCCTTGTATAACCCAGCTCCAGGACAGATAATGTGCTAGGTGCCATATACAATGTTTTCAAATTTCTGTGAACTACTTAATAAGCACACATCTACAAAAAGGAAATGAGCAATATTTGCAACAGGTGGAGATCATTATAGTTGTTCCTGAATAAAAGGTGTTGCACTATATCTGTAGTAAATTTGTTTGCATTAACAATTTTATGCATTTAATGTGCTATCTTTAGTTTTAGAAACAATGCTTCGTGGTTGTTGCCTTCTTGCTTGTTTTTTTCCTGTCTTCTAAGCTTTCAGGCTGTAGCTCGTTTTTGCTAAAACAGTAGTTCGTATTTGTGCTTGCGGGACCTCTTTTTGGCGATGAGATCATTTATCATGACGAAGAGAAGCTTATAACTGAAACTGTGTGAATAGGGAAATTTTTGCCGTGAAGCGAATTCCAATATGAAGTGTGAGTGCAAATCGAATGGAATATATTTTTTCAAGTATTCTTGAATATTTCTAGAGTAGAATACTTTTTGAATACTTTGAACCAAATTGCAAAAAAAAAAAGAGTTCGAGAAGATTCTTGGGCATGTTCTTATGAGATAGCAACATGAAAGGGTTTCCTCTGGCTAGGTCGAGGAAACGATGGCAGGGTGCTGTTACATAGTCGTCCTATCAAGAATGAGGCAATGCAGAGGCTGTATAGTACTTATGTACACGATTTTGTGCAACCAATGTGTTGCCCAAGTTTCAGGTCCAAAACAGCATTAATTGAGCACCCACCTCGTCACATCTGTCATCTTCGTGTTGGAACCAGCGTTTTCTCGGATGAACACACTTGCAACTGGAGCAGAGCTCTGAAAGGCAGCTTTGCCGCAATGTAAGAATATGATGGGGTGAAGCATATTGAAACTCTGAAGGGGCCCCAGTTCGTTGAATTACGGCTGCATTTGTCTTCTGCAAGTTGGAATAGTAATATTTTGGTGCGAATCAAATCCAACAACAAACTATTTGAAAAACATTTTAAATTTCGAATATTACCACACCCCACTTTTAACATAGCAGTGCAAGGGGTGGTAATGCCGGAGTAACTGGCTTTCAACCGTTCTGTTGTGAAGATTTGCATGCAAATTTAGAAGAATGTCCTTTCTCAATAGATTCATCACTTCAATCAGCATGTCAAGCCAACAGTCGTCGAAGAAAAGTGTGACCTCAGTTGGACCAACACCGATCGGGCTCAGGAGTTTTTCATTGGAGAAGAGGCAAGTCGTGCTGTTTCATGTTGCAATATAAATATCACCTTGCTTGCGTTTGTATGGTAGAGGGACACTTCTCCTGAGTAGATGAGTTCAACATCAGATTTTGCTTTTTATGCTTGTGCAGCGTTCAAGTAAAGTGTTGTAGACAAGACTTTTTTTTTCATTTCAAGTGCTACCTAATGGTTCAGTGTCCGCTGCAGTGGTTATGGCACTCGGCTGCTGACCCAAAGGTCCCGGGTTAGAATCCAGCTGCAGCGGATGCATTTTGATGAAAGCGAAATGAGAGAGGCCCTTGCACCGTGTGATGTCGGGGCACGTGCAACAAGTGGTGAAAATTTCTAGAGCCCTCCATCTTTACGGCATATTTTATAATCATATCATGTTTAATTTATGTAAAACCCAAATAATATTTGTTATATCTAATTGGTCGGCATAGAAGCACGTATAGCAGCTCTTCAGGCTGTACCATCTGTTCAATTCCTTGTCACAAGATACAAAAGTTTGTTGTTGACTAACATAATATATAACAATAAGAATGCGTTTATGAAAACACAATTTTTCACTGCTATAAACCCTTGTATAACAATGCTCTAAGAAGCACATTGTTATCTATGTAAAGTCAAAGGATAGTTCTGTTTAATTTAATGTGTGGAGTTTTTATTTCAAATGAAGCCACCATTATTTTGATCATGCAAATGTAGTTTTCTATACAGGATTTGTCACTATGACGTCATTTATTCCTTTTATGTTTCATTGTATCGGTGGCTTCATGTAGCAAAGGTTTTTGGTTCATGACTGCAGAATTTAAAGGGCTAGAAAATATAGTGGAATCTCTTCTGCAAGTTTTTCTACAAGTTTCTCACTTCTACGAGCAGTGAGCATACCAAGATGTGGGGGCTGTGGCAGTTATAATTAATTATATGTAGGATCTTCAGTACGAGTTTTTATGCTTTCAACTCAGGGTCATTACAGCGGAGCCCCTACACCGCAGTTATTAAGATGTTTGAGCAATGTTGACCTAATGTAAGGAAACTATAGTTAGAACCATATTGTCTGAAGTATGCACATGTGCGAACTTTATTGTACAGAAAAAATGTTGCTTGCTACTCGTCATAGTGCTTTATGAAAGACTGCCTAACTGCAAATGGCAGTGCATAGGTGATGTTGACCTAATGTAAGGAAACTACGGTTAGAACCATATTGTCTGAAGTATGCACATGTGCGAACATTATTGTACAGAAAAAATGTTGCTTGCTACTCGTCATAGTGCTTTATGAAAGACTGCCTAACTGCGAATGGCAGTGCATAGGTTATTACTGTCTTGTTTCTTTACGTACTAGGTAAAGCTAAAAATTTTTATTTATTCTTTTTATAAGTGGGGTAACTGCATGATGATTTTCTCCTGGTGTATTACACTTTAGGTGCTGTACTTAAATCCTGAGCAGAGGTTTCACGTACACTGGCCCATCAGGAGAGGCCGATTAAATGTGCACTCGGGCGTTGGAGGTTCCTTGGTGTCTGTGCTGCATCACCTCGAGGCCATCTGGGGCATGGCCATCCAACAGTACCTAGAGATTCCACTGAAAGACCTGAAGGTGAGATCACTGTGTAGCATAACACACTCTTATTACTCTACTTCTACTGCAAAATATTGTGGTAGTACAATAAAACCTTATTATATCAAGGTAACCAGGATTATGAAAACTCTAAACTGAAGGGCTCTTCAAACTGATAGAGCATCCAAATCCACAGAATTTAGGGAACTGAAAATTACCGATACTAGTCTATAATGCTCGCTTTTTGTGCCTGGTGGATTTCAGTTGCGAAAGTCACATTTTCCGGCAACACCCAATTTCCATTTTGCCTAATACCCAGGAAAATGACAGATTTCAGGAGTCACAAACCAATGCCACATTAAAACAATAATCCAAGCTAGTTAATAATGCTACAGTAGTAACTGTAGTTAGTAATGCATTGTGTCCGTGTGTTTTTGTGCTATTCTACAATGCCTCATAGCAGTGCTTTTGACTGATAGAGGAAGCACACTAGTCTCATGCCAGTGTAAGAACTGGCAGGTTTCATAGTACAGCCTGCAGTCGGCTGAAATATGGGCCTCTGGGGGAAAAGACATGTCACAGCGACACAGCAGACACTTGCGAGCACGTCTTGTGCTCCTCACCGTGTTAGTGTGTCATTGTCACAGGTCCCGTTAATTAGGGAGGTCATCATCGAGCTAATTCCAAGGGCCGAAGTATCGGCCCCCCGAACTGCACCACGAAAGCGCGGACAATTTAGAAGTGGTCCTATTTGGCGTGCCAGTGGACGCCGGCTGTGGTCCAAAGAACGAGTCAGAGCTGACAGTTGATAAACACAACAACATAATATTCTCAAATATGGCAGATCAAACGATACACAAATATGCACACTCAACAATAGTTGAAAAAAATATGTCACCAATCACACAATGTACTACACAGAACAACCAGCTACACTCGAAACAACGGACACAAACAACAATACGCGCTACAATGGAATCACATGCATTGAACAACCAAGACACTTAAAGACTAAAGAGTCCGAAAACTTATTCAGTCCAAAGTCTTTGGAACGAAGTCAGAATGATACTCTTCCAAGAATCACTCAAAGTCCAGCGCTGTTGTCGTTCTGCTGCCCTCGAAATTTCTCTCCCAGTAAACCTCACGTCTTCAATTGGCCACTCTCCAAGCATCAAACTTCTTCGCCGGTAACACGTCAGCTTCCCACGCGCAGCTGTTGCAATGCGTCTTTGCTCTCTGGCGGTAGACGCACTCTTCTGCTTGTAGCACAAGTCTTCACCCCTCAGGTGGAAATCCTCTTCATTACTTCATTACCTGCTTTGTCACTGAGGACAGAAGCCTTCGCCGACAAGGCGGAACACCCTACGCACCCTGGCACAAATTTTCTTCTTCTCCTGCTTTGTCACTGAGGACAAAACTTTCGCTGACGACACGGCGGAAACGCCCTACGCACTCTTGCACATACTTTCTTCTTCTCCTGTTTTCCCTTCTTCGCTGCTCGCTTAAATACCTTTTAAGCTAGATGCCAGAAAATTCTTATTGTTTCGTCGGCGCGAGGCACAGCTAAGGCTGGGGAAAGAGCGAGACGTTTCGAGGGCACTCCGCGACACAAGAGGCAACTCTGCATCACCATGCCCCTTTCCTTCGAAAACCTTCCAGGGCTTGCTCGGCCCCCGATGTGAGGAGGTTGGTCGGCGAAACTATGCTTTCGAGGGGGGAGAGACGGCGCGCCCGGGGAGTCTTTGGATGCTTGTTTTCTTCTTTATCGTTGACCTTGAGGCATGTCTCTGGCGCTTGGTCGCCAGAATTCGGCGGTGCGCCCTTTTTTGAGCGCTCATTTTTGACACTCGTGATCTGACTATTTGCCAGTTTTTTCTCAGAGAAGGGAAAAAGTTTTAAAGGTCAGTCTGACAGAATTCGTGATGTATGCTGGCTGCAAAACATAAGACATTATGTTTTTCAGGCTAGTGCGCAACACAAGCACTCTGCCAGCCGTGCTAGTGCACAAGTTACTGGAGCCGCATCCTGTTAGAAGTGTATAGAAGTTGTTAAATTGACTGCCGAACTTTGATATGCATTACATACAGGTAATATTACTATTAATTATGTATTAGATAAAAAAGAATTAGGCAAATACAAATTTTTTTTAGTCATGCTTACATATTACAAAACTGTCGAAAATTTTCATCTCTACTACTCTTTCTGCTGGTCCAGGTACTGTTTTATTTATTTCTTGTATTGCAGTAGCAATTATATTGGCACTCCAGGTGCATTCCTGCTGCCTGTATCAGTGTTGCCTTGATAGTCTGCATAAATTCCAAATGGACATCACCCAACGTGTTGTGTATACTATGTGCGACTGATAGCATTCGACAGCAGACCATAATAGCAGCTCAAGTGGATAGAAAACACACCGTGAGCAGAAGGGCTATCCAGAGATCTTAGAGGGCGTCTGTGTGAAGCAGGAATTCAGTGCAACAATCTCTCTAATCTCTCGTTACATAGACAGCGGCACGGGGAGAAAATTTGTTACAAGTGATATTTAAACGAAAGTGACTGCTCGAGAAAAGCTAAAGCAGTCGAGCTGCTATCATGCCACTACTGCGAGGAAGTCGGAACGCTATGTATTGACTGGAGTATAACTTTATTCAGGTGCAAAAGAGGCAGTGAGCTTTGGCTGTTTCAACTTCTCGCCGGATCCGGACAACCACTGCCCCTATTTGACCAAGCGTTGGATGAGGCCGTGGTCGTTTCTCATGCATTCAACTTAATGTCATAACACGTGCAGGTACCCACATGTGCACCACATTTGGCACTTCACGTGGCTCTTCATCTGCCGGCTCTTTGTCCTCGTTGAGGCCACCAACAGTGTCAGTAGGGTATTTCCGTATCTCTCTCTGGGGCAACAGGAAGAGCAGTAGCAACAGCCAACGCAAACATCTCGAAGTTGCGTTCTACCTCCTGGCCAGCAATTGTAGTAACAGCCTAGTACAGGGAGCTTTCTCTGTGTGCACAGCAACTGTGAAAAGTGGCCGGTTTTACAGTCGGGGCTTTGCGTGCTCACCCGAGTCGCGCAGCCGTAACATTTTCAAAACAAGAGTTTTTTAGCACCCCATTGTCGATGCACCACGAAATGCGACAGCTCCGGTTCACTCCGCAATGAACGGCTGGGTGCACGCGGCCCTCGCTAGCTACTCATTACTAGGCAGTCGTCGGTCATGGCTACGCTTTGTGCCTTGTTTTGTGCCTGCATGAAAATAGTTCGTCAGCGGCATTACTTTGACGCCGCATGCGCAAAAGGGTCAGTGCCGCTTGGCAACGCTCCGCTTTGTTCTCAGCGGGTCAGGGTCAGGCTCTTTGTGCGCCTTGAGCAATATGGCTTATTATGCATCTGTTTGGGTCGGGACAAAAAGAAAATTCAAGAAAGGCAATTTCATTATATAATAAGGGATTACTGTACTTCGATTTGTCGAGTGCGGTGATGCACACCCTGTGTTGTTGTGTTCTCACCACTTGGTTCACACTGAAGTGATCGACGGCACAGTGGTTGCTTAGTCTGCTGTTGCAGTCAGATTTCCTTACGCCAGTATTTTGTTGAGTCACACCTCATGGGATGCTAAAGGGGCTAGCTGCTGGCCTTACTTTGCATAATGTTCCAAGGTGCTGCCTCAATATTCATTGAATCTAGCTTGTGATGAAACTCTTGTTTTTGTTTCTGTGTGTCTCTGTTTCCACATTTGATCATATCCTCCTGTATCATTCAAGCACTACAGAGCTGTACTGGTCATACCAGATGTGCACGCCAGAGATCACGTTCGAGAGCTGGTGCAACTCCTGCTCTGCAAGCTGGGCTTTGGTGGCTGCTTTGTTGCTTTGGTGAGTTACAGAACTTTTGTGTCCCTTTAGATTTATGATTGCAGAACCAATTCAATGCTAAACTCTGCCGAATTATTGCCTACAAGGATTGGACATTATTTTTGTGGCATTTTTTATCAGCAAGCCTATGTCAAATGCTCACCGATAGAGATGTGACATCAAACTTTTTGGTATACTAATGACTCGTAATTGCTCAAGATCACTGCGTCGTGTCACTACACACTAAAGTGCTAGACGTAACGTCGGCTCCGATGTAAATGCATTAGTCAAAATTACGCTGATACGACATAAACCGAAGATGGTGGAAGCAAAAATATACGCATTACTTAGCCCTAAAATGCCGTCTTTCAGTCCACGGGAACTAGTTATGCAGCTGTTTGTTGTCTGTAACACTTATTGGTTTCTCTTGCCTATCATACTCAAGTGATGTCATCTCAAGTGTTAATTCTGAAGTTTGCCATATCTTGCTGCTCATATTTCGACCGAATAGAACTCCGACTAACAAATGCGACCTGTATTTTTAGAAAATGAATCTGGCATTTGGGCGAGGAAATTCGGTAGCTTTGGTGGTGATCATCATATATGAACAGATTGGTGTTGTGATTGCCTACCAATTATCTTAAGTTACCCTTTTCATTTTATTTCTTGAATGCCTAATTGCAAATAACGATGGATGTCTCCGAGCCAATTTACAAGCACATCTGAAATTTCAAACTCCATCCCATTCTGCTCTGTCCCATTGTTCCAGCGTCCTGTCGTAGTTACGTATTTAGGATTGCTTCATTTCAGGCTGCCTAGGCAGCCATGTTGAATACACTAGACTCTCAGTAAACGGAAATCTGTTATACAGAACTACTGCTTAGACGAAACTATTTCCTCTGCAATGCTTGGTTTTGGGCTTGTATTCTGCACCCATGTTCACCTCTGAGTAAACGGAACTCCTGTTAAATGGAACATATTTTCCCGGTCCCTTCAGGTTCCGTTTACTGAGAGTAAACTGTATCTCACGGCCTCACACCAGCTCTCTTGTGTACCAATTGATGTTCTGATGCAGTGGTTCCTATACGTAATCCTTGTCGCAATATAGAAGTGTTGCACAATCAAGCTTTTGGAGCGTATTACAACGAAGGATTTCAATAATTGGAAGTGGTCACTGTCCCATGATATGTGATGTGTTCCCTAAAATTACTTGCACACACAGATATTGCCTCCTGTTGCAGTAAAACCACCTTAATATATATCCATTTGAACCAAACTAATGCCTGAAACATAGTTGCAACAACACCCTGAGTCAGTGTACAAACAGTTTTGCACAATCATTGATCAGTGTTTTTTGGCTAGTCATATGCTAAGTCTGGGCTATGCAGCAGCAGCTATTGCTCAGTTCTTTTGCAAACATCCCTGTTATCTAAGGATGCCAACTGACAACTGCTCAGTTGGTCTTTCTCTGTATAAGTGCTACATTAATTTCTTATATCTTTCTACCAGCCTTCATTATGGCTGCAGGAACCGACTATGAGCTACTTTCTTGTAACTGCAGGAGTCTGTCTGTGCAACATTTGGTGCTGGGCTGTGCTATGCTTGTGTCGTGGATGTAGGGGACCAAAAGACCAGTGTTTCCTGCGTTGAAGATGGCATATCTTCACGAACTAGCAGGTGGGTTTTATATATGTCTTCTACAATTTGCACTACTAAGTTCATTCGACGCGGCTTAATTCAAGGCAGCATTCGTCTGCTTATTCCATCTTGAAAATACAGAATGTCTAAAACAACCAACCTGTTCAGTGTAGTCTGCAGTGAATGCACAGTGCATTCACAGAAATACCGATAGCATATTTCACAGTATATTTGCTGCACAAGGCATGCAACCTCATAATGTAGTGCCCTTGATTACACCTAATATATGACCAGTAGGCCGGTAGATTATGTAACTAAGCAAGGATACCACCTTAATTCACTGTAATGACCACAACTGAATGAAATGAACAGCTTTTTGTCTCTTTTGCTAAATATGCATGTGGCCACCGGTGGTCTCATTTTCATAGAGGAGCTCTATATAAAGATACTCTATGTAGCACTGTACTGCCCCTACATTGAACTCGCGTTCACCTCTACATTCAGTACGTAGAAAGCTATGCTGCTCCGTGTCTTTGCAGTGGCCCTTTTTTTTTAAACTATATTAGCATGCCCATTTGTTTCATCGAAAACATTCATGCCAATGAAGCAGCACCGTGTGTCAGGACCTAAAAAGACTGTTTAAAACATGCACAGCTTTCATATATACTCTCTGAACAAATCTTTTTTCACTTCTAGTTGTACAGTCAAAGCTCAATAATTTTGCCCTCGTTAATTTGGAAATTAGGGTTATCTGAATTTCTTCTTTGGTTCTGGGGAGCGTACGTATTGTTCACTGGCATCAGTGTTGTTAATTTCGTAAAATTTAGCTGCATTTGGATAATTCAGGTGATACTAAGAGCGCATAGACTGTGAAGCGCCAGAAATCTGCAGCGCAAAGAGTGGGAGTAGCATTTGCATTCAATAGAAACGACGAGGTGCCATCTACATTACCATCATAACTGTGTGGTAATGAAAGCAAAGCCAGAATGCTCTACATCTATTTGCATTGGCCACTGTATTTGCAGCAAGCTTTCCAAAAAGCGTGGTTGCCACTCGGCGCACGTGAACTGTGGGGGCACTCTGAATTATTTTGTTGATTGTGACTGTGGTCTTACCCGCGTTGGCCCCAACAAAGAGCAGTTTTGTTTTCACTGCATGTCTTCAGAACTGAGTTAGTTTGCCTTCAGCACTGCAGTCATGCGATATGTAGAATCATGTTGCCATCTACTACATTTTCATCTGCAGTAAGTGTGGTGCTTAGTTGTTTTATTTTTACTCTTGTATGCTTAGGCCGCACACATGCCTTCAGAGCAGCATGAAGAAGTGAAAATTTAATGGCTCGTTTTTTTTGTTGTTAGATGCGTTAATAATGAGAACTAACAGACAGTAATGATTTGGTCCTAGCTCGTGGCAAATTATTTCTCGGTCCCCTTTTCTTTCTTCACATTTATATTACATTTACTATTGATAACATCCCCCTATACTCTTCTTGGCATTGTGGTCTGTTAGTTCTCATTAGTATTCAGAGCTGCATGGATGCTAAGATCACATTGGTAGTGATCCACAGCAGATGTGGTGCAGCGCACGGTACTGTTGTTTCAACCCTGCATGAATAGGCTGGGCGTGTGCCTTCAGAATGCAACAGTTATGTTTGTGTGATTGCCACTGAATAACAAATTCTTCCTGCACACAACTTCTGCCTTTCAGTGTATTATATCTTTCTGTTTATTATTTTTGTTCTGCTGAAATGTAAGGCTGATAATGGAGTATGGCGGAGCTGACATAACGCACCTGTTCCACTACTTGCTGCGAAAGTCGGGCTTTCCTTACAAGGAGTGCGACCCTTCGAAAGTCACTGATGCCTTGCTCCTGCAGGAGCTGAAGGAAAACATGTGCCATGTTAATCTGGTGAGTTATGGCAAAATCATGTGATATCTCATGTTCTTCAGTCCATGATTACCGACCTTCTGAAAGTCCGCTTCTGAACAGGGCATTCTTGTGTTTCTCCAGTCACATCCATCCTGAGTTATCCGAGTCCATGCTATGCCCTAAAGTTTTCTGAGCTTTATATATGTATCAATAAATATACTTATCAACAAAATCTTCTACGTCATCCTTTGTGCACCTTGACTGGTTTCTTCCATTCCCTCAACAGGAATTCTACTAAGGCCTGGCCAAATGTAGGCACTATTATTCAGGCAACAGCAAGGAATATGTGGGAAAGGGTGATGCAGTGCCTGCAACTCATATAAAGGAACCAGAGCTGCGGGCAGGATACAAGGTTCGGTACTGATCTCAGCTGGGTTAAGTGGGGTGCTCCTGAAAACACAGTCTCACACTCACGTGACAGTGGAAGCCTAATTATCTTCATCAGCAGCTCGAACAGCTGTGTGGCAGATGCAGGCCACTGCGTAGGACTTGAGCAGCGGCAGCAGTGAGCATCTAATCCACGAGTCGAGCATAAGGCCTCAATTTTCAATTTGACATACACGTACTATGACTGTGCTTTATGCCGTGGATGAAGGACCACTATGCTTTTAAATATAGTAGTGGCTGTAGTGTTCCTACGCTCTGCCTTGACCATGCGAATAGAACTCTTGCTTGTTCCCTGTAAACTTGAGCCCTAACAAACGAAAGCTCAACAGACTAGCTATACTCGCTGTACCCTGATAGCAGCAAACACAGTCATCGGTTGTCAATGATCTGCTCATCAATTAAACGTGTCAGCTTCTATACATGCCTGAACATTTCAGCCTTTGTCATTGGTGCTTGCATTGGATCCAAAATAAACTCATCTGATCAAGTCAAGTACGCAATTTCATCGGAACCCTCTGAAACAATTGTAAAGGTTCCCATGCCCAGGCTTGACCTGAGTGGTAACACATTCAACAACTTTTGTATTTGAAATACGGTCACATGTGAATAATAAAACAAGTGTGCATAGTTGCTTCTTACCATGCTTTGAGAACATTTTTGCGAGACAATGTACATCCTTTGTACTAGGGCCCTTGAGACTACCAGTTAAGAATGTAATTTTTTTTTATGGCTAGGATCTATGAAACAAATCTGTTTAACGCTTGTTTCATAGGAAAACCTCTGTTGTGCTACATTAAAAATTGCATTCTTTTTCCTGTAGGACATATGTGGAGCGCAGGAGCGGTCTTTTCAGTTGAAGCAACCAGGCAAGCCTCTCTTTGAGTACAAAATCAAGGTTTGTGCATTCAGTCATCAGCTTTACAAAAGTGAAAAGTGCCATATTTTCATGCAAGAAATGGAAACAAAATAAATTGCTTAAGGGGGCAGACTGGTGGACCAAAAAGTGACAAAAAAATTCATTTTTTAAATTGGACATATTTGGTTTCTGCAAGTATTTTTCTATCTCTCTGCAAATTTTCACACACCAAGATGTGGTAATTTTTTTGTAATTTCATTCTAACTGTCCAGATTATTGGTGCTGTTAACATGCAGAACCTGCAAAAAATGGAGAACCGACTTTGGGTCTTCTTTATAGTTTGCCAGCACCTCTGTTAGAAGCTCTGCTTCGAATTTATGAGCACCTTTATGAGGATTTCAAAACATGCGTACCATGATTGTTGCTTTTTGAAGAAGCTGTGTATCATATGGGTAATGACAACACAAGAGATGTTCTAGGGCAAGCACAAAACACAAGACACTTGGTTACTGCATCTTCATGCACAATACAAATAAAGCAGTTCAATGTCTTGGTTGCGAATAGGGGCCCCCTACAAAGACGATAAGAGAAGAGCTCGCGTGAGCAGTACAATAAGTATAGGTACGCCCAGTTCATATATCAATCTGGTGGCATGGTGTAACCACTACTTACGCCACTACTACTGTATTCCTTGAGGCTTTTCCGTACCTATGCAGCCAAGCTGCCAAGCCTAGGCAGAAAAAGAAAGGCGATATTTCCTTTGTCACCGTGCTTCCCTAACTCTTGCTTTTTTGTTGTGAGCGGACTCCTTGATTGTCCTTTTTTTGTCAGCGGTCGAACTACAATAGTGAAAGGTGATTGACGAGTCAATCAACTTCTCGAAGACTGCCTTCTCAGCCCGCTTTTTTCTTGAGCGTGAGCACGGGTGGCTGCTTCCCATCATTGTGCATGCTCGCCCGCAACAGCACTGATGTGGAGGCTGGTCCTTTGCATTCGTAGCTTCCTTTGCAAATACCCAGAATGTTTTCCCTACAGTAAGGTCAACTTGAATCCCGGGATGTGTGCAGTTGTGGGTGGCCAACAGGAGAAATGGGTGGTTGGCTGGACAGCTGGGTGGCAAAACCATTGCTGCCCACTGTGGGGAGGAGAAACCTGGGTTGACTTGCACACGGTTTTCGTGGAAGAATTTTTTTTAATTACACGACCGACCGAGAGTAGCCACTCTAGAGAAGCAGCGTGTTTTCCTGCAGTGGCAGGAGGAAAAGGGTGCATCACAATGTCCTCCTCCTCTTTAGAATGGTGGAGAAGGAGAGCAGCTGGCTGATGCATTGCATGTGTGAATGATTCTTATCAAATAAAAGGAAGTTAAGAGAAAAGTGTACCCCGCACAGTATGTCTCTTTCAGAGAAGGACACCTCAATAGTAGTGCACGAGAGAAGAGACAGGGAGGAACTAAAAGAAATTGAGAAGAAAGACGAGAGAAGTTGGAGGGGATCGCAAACAACGAGCCGACCGATGAGAGTTCCTCAGAGCAAATTTGGCTTGGCGTTCAGGAATCGGGCACATGCATTGTGCGCTATTCAACTACCCACACAGAATAGTTCCATAGTATTCTGTGCTGTCTGTGCCATGCACTAATGCCTGACATGGTGTTTTTAACACCGCAGCGTTAAAGAGCTCGTTTCACACAAATTTTAGTGTCGGTGTTGGCATCATTGGTTGCGAGCGAAAAATTGGCATTGTCCATGACCAAGAAATGGAGCAAAATGCAAATAATATAACAAAAATGTTCCGTTCTAGAGAGAATCAAATCCAGACCTTCAGCATGGCAAGCCGGTGTTGTACCACAGAGCCACGCCATTGCTTGAAACTACTTGGGGAGAAAAAACACAACTAGAATCTTATGTACTAGTGGGAAGTCTCTTCAATGTATTTAATATTGTGTGGCAGAAGCGCTGAAAGGCGCCAGGCATGAAGACATTTGAATTACACGAGTGGGCTATCTAAAGGCTCATTCATTACAAAGCGCTCAAACGCACCGAACCATCACCGTCAGCAAAAAAAAAACCCAACAATGCGAGCAGCTCTGTAGGTTGTTTGTTGCCTTATGCCTTACGAATGCTTAGTGTGCACTGTGCAACTTTAGTTGCAGTAGGTTGAGGCATGCACCGAGAACTGAAGCCAGGCTAGCTATTTAGAAGGCAATGCGCACGATGCCGAATTATGCTATCGCATTCTACTCTTGACAGCGAAACTTGAGTATCCTCCATGTTTTGATTACCGTCTCGTGACAAGTCACAAGCATGCATGTATACCCGTAGAGACAGCAGCAGCAAATGCAATGAGCTCTGAGTTACATTTCAAGCGACTGTGACCACATGGGAAAAGCACATTGCTGACAAGGCTGGTATCTTTCAAGCAATTAGTCTTATGAAGTGTTTAGGCTTGTGCGAAAAGTGAATTTTCGGTTCAAAGTGAATAGTGATTTTGATCGAATATCTTCAAATCGAATTCGAATAGTATAAACGACATAGTATAAAACAGGGGAATATTTATCATAACCTAACTAACCAGCACATTATTTCTTTTGACTTGAAATATGGGCTGTATGCAAATGTCATTTTTTTTTTCGTTCAAAGGAAGTTGAAACAACCTTGAATAGTAGTTTCGGTAGGATCCGAGTGATAACCTGTGAGATACTAAACATTTTAAAATTTATTAAACTTGGAGCTTATACTGTCATAACAAGCTTAATAAAATGAAGAATTTATTTGAGGATAATATGTTCCTTTAAAGAGGCCCTGCAACACTTTTTCAAGTAGCCATGGAGCCAGTAGAAATGCTTGTTGCCTCACAAATTTACCGCTGCAAAGTTTCTAGAATCAGTCCTGTATGAGCGGAGTTCCAAAATTTTGTCGTACCCTGCGATTGCATTCTCTCTTCTCGTCCCGACGAAATAGCTGGAAGCTAAGCAGCAAGGAATGGCACAGCGAAAGGAAATAAATCACACGCACCTCATGACCTTGAGCACCTCCTTTTTTTTTCTTCGTATACGCGGCTTTTCAGTTCGATCGCGCATGTACTCATGGACAAGCGGCGGCCTCCCGTGGCGACCTGGTAACGACAAGCGCGCCATGCTTCAATAAGCCAATGGCTGTGACCACAGCCGTATTTTTCTTCTTGGCTGTGACAAGCAAGTGATTTTTGAGCTTGTAGTGTCAGTTGCCAAAGTAAGAAAGCAATTTTTAGCTTTGAAAATTTATTGTGAATTACAGGCTGTGTGCTGCGCTATAATATTTGCCTCGCAGGTTCTCGGTAGCTTTGACTACCGATCGGCAGCGTTTTCTGACCAAGCTCAGTAAGTGTTGCAGGGCCCCTTTGTATTTGAAAGGGGGCTTCGCGGCAAAGCGAATTTACCTTAGACTTAACATTCCTACATTGCAGTGAAGCCATTTTTACCAGTAGTTACATGTGGATCAATATACGGTACATCTATTCGTTCATTGCGAATACTTCAAAAATGTTTGATAATTTAAATTCGAATCGAAGCAAATTCGAATACTCAGCTATTTGTTCGAATATTAAAAGCATTTGAATATTCGCACAAGCCTAGAAATGTGGGAATGCACTTACAGTCCTTGCAGTGGGCAGCAAAATTTGAACCATAATGAACATTGAAATTGTTTTTATGCTGCTTAAGGCCGGTGTTTAGGAAGTGTGCCGATTGACCAATGTACACAAGTCTACAGGTCTCGGGGATTTAATAAACAATACAGGAAGTGCCGGGCATAAATTGATTTTGGTGTTTACAGCAAAGACTGTAAGTGCACACGTAAATTGTGTAAGGTGACAATTCCTAATAGGCACAAAAATGGGACTACATGGGAAATTGTTAAAATCTTTCTCATTAATAATTGTAGTGAAAGCTGTGTCAACACTCCTTTAGTGGCATTATTATGATGGGAAATTAGTTTTCTAGATGGTATGAATAGATTTATTTTTGTTTGAATGAGATTTCAAAGGTTTTTTAAAGATATGTTGTCATTATTATTTGCTCCCTTTGTCTACTATTGCAAGGTATTTAGTTTGTTTAGTCAACTTCATTGCTTTTCTTGCTTGTTTGCAAATTGAGAAGCTGTGGTACGTGGCGGCAACTGCATAGTTCATTTAAGTTCACTGTTTTGTATGCCTTGTAATAAACATTTCTGTTGCTAGTAAGGCCTATTTGGGTATTTTTTTTGTCTGTATTATTTGCACTGCTTTGAACCATAGTAGAAGAGTTTTGTTTGCTCACTTCAAGGCAGTAATCAGAATTGGTAATGTCGTGAAGTCTCACAACAAAACGTGGCCTCTGGTTGTAACTTTGTTCTCGTGGTATTTGAAGCAGCAGTTGTGTTTTTGTGGTGTGGGATGGGTTTTTCATAGGCTTTTGTGAATATGCCTTAGTGCTTACAATATTCAAACCAATATTACTGTTTTCAAATTCGCTTCGGTTTGAATTGAAATTGCTGGAATTTTCTAAATGTTATAAGTGAACTAATAAATCTATATTGCCAATAAAGGAGGTTGCACTGTAGTACAGAAATGCTATATCATGAAAATACCTCATCAAGGGAAATTCGTACTGCCACAAAGCCACACTTCAAGGTTAGATGAACATATTGCCCTCACATCTAGCCATCATTTTTTAAATTTAAAACCTTGTTACATTGGCTTATGTGCTTTAAGTATGATAATATTCAAACCGTAACATATATTACACTTGCATTCTACCAAAAGTCAAGTCCTGCTACTATTTAAAATGGTTTCTGCTTCCTTTGAAAAACAAAAAAACTTGTACAGGCCTTTATTCAATTAAAAAAATATATATATTTTTCAGGTTAATAGGCTTAAATATGCCCATTTTTTAAAACAATATGTGGCATTCTAACTTGATTAGAATTATTTGACCAAAGTCACTATTATCTTAGAATTTGCTTATTCACTATTCGCGCAAGCTTAGTTTTGATGTTGCACCTTTGTCGGGCTCACTGGAGCGCAGCTAGTTCGATGAAGTTAACATTGTGGCTTCTGCCTCACACCCCTTTCAGATTTCGATGAAAGCAATGCTGAAAAAATATGGTGCTGTGTTGTTTTCCTTGTTTTTCTTTTTTTTTTTTTTCACTTGATATGTGATGCATGGCACTATGAAGAAGACATTACCAATGTGCCTAGAAATAGTGGTCGCCACAGCTCGAGCATAGCAGAATTGATTTTTTTACCTCATTTGAAACAGTGTTCTTCGTACTCTCGTATTGTTCAATCTTGTGACAGTTCCCAAATGAAAATGAATCCTTCGGTGGCTATACTTTGCATAAGAGGTCGAATTTCAATTTATCATTGTTTCGATATCACAAAGTAAATTGCCGATTACATCGACCTTGTTCTATCGAGGTTTAACTGCATACGCATGTATACGTTGGTCATTGAGCGGCTAATTTTCCTTTGCACATTTCAGGTTGGTGACGAATGTCTGGTGGCCCCACTAGCCCTGTTTCGGCCGGACATGCTGGGTGTTACAGGTGCGAAACAGTCCAGAGGACATCTAAGAAATCCGGGCGATCCCCATGACCCTCTAGATGAGCACTTCCTTCTACAGACGCAGGTGAGGCTTGGGTCTCGAGCAATTAATTTTAATGCTGACTACAGACAATAGAATGGTGGCATTCTCTTTCGTATGAAGTGCCTCGAAAAAAAAAAAAAAAACAGACATGTTCAGTTGTCACATGCATCCAAATAAGTTACTCAATAGTGGCAATTGAAAGTGATAATTAGAAAGTACTGGTTATAACAAGTGCATTTACTTAGTTATGTGTGGTCAAAAATAGAGCTATAAGCATTCTTACAATATTTTATCCATGCAGCGATGTCTATTCATCGCTGCTATGTAAATTGGCATGTCACCGCAGATGGAGATGATCATCACCACAGACGATCTTTGTGTTTATTTGTAATACCGGAGAAATTTCGGTCTGCTATATTTCTGAAGTTCATCGCGATCCCAGCATGTGCAACTATGACATCATTTTCTATCATGACCTTAACTAACTGCCTGCCACCTGGTGTCGAGCAGTCTGTCAGAACTGTGAAAGGTGAAAAGGTGCAATGTTGGCAAGGGCTAATAAAAAGGTTAATCTCAACTCATCTTACCATGAAGCAGTTTGTCTTAAGCAGATTTCTTTACCTTGTGTGTATGGAAAACCATCCAAATGTTTGTACATGTAATGTGGCCAGGAATTCGTCAGACAGTTTGCCTTAACAGTGGCATACTGCAAATCAGAAAGCTACACGACTTCAGAGGGCATTGCCAATGGCACAGAGGCATGTGGTAGTGTCTTACTGATAATGGCGGGGTCTACCCAAGTAGCCAACCGCTGAGTTGTCGCTACTGACAAGGATGGTTTAAACTAGACTGGGGGAGTGTGGACTTGGTTTCTCTTTTGTACAGATTGTGTCTCGAGTAAATCTCTGAAAAGTTGTACAGCGAAAGCTGCTATGATATCACAACACGGGTCACGTGCGGGGCCGTAGTTGTCTGCCACTGTCGCCGCTGGTCTCCTTAACTACTATCGCATGTAATAAGCAAAAAAAAAACTCGTAAATAAAAAAACACTAAGGACACAATGAGATTCGAACCCGTGTCCCCTGCGTGCCAGCCCAGTATTCTGTCTTTGAACCACGTTGGTGCTTGGAACTCGTTTGCAAACTGGCCTAAGGCAGGCTTGATGTCGGGAAAGGAATCGTGTTATGATATGAGCAATAAAGTGTTTCAGAACGCAAAAGGAACAACCAAGCATCACACAATGCAAATTGTGTAACGATTGGGTCGTTCAATGCTCCAACCCATTACAAAAGCTTGTTCTTGATCGCCTATTAACTGTGGCACATGCCCACTTCAGGCATAATTATTTATGGTCGTCAGCCACTGCATAAAAAACTTGCATAAAATTTCTTGCTAGTATGTAGGGTATACCACACTTCTCTGAAGAATGATGAAGGATAGCATAGTGAATGCCAGCTTACTACACAAAAATTATGATTATTGATGGCATAGTGGGTACCCAGCAAGTGTGCCTCTTGCAGTTACCCGAAGAGTGTTAAGGCTCTGAAAGACCACTCTTCCAGCTTTCGCTGTGACTGTGCAGGGCATTCCGGGCAGTTCTGGCGTTTTTTTTTTTAAGGAAAAAATGAAAGAAAAAAAAGTTACACTCGGATAAATGCTAAACACTGTACAAATTTATCATCAAAAGAGTACATTAAGGGCTCGTTTGTTTTTAGACTCAACTATAAAGAGAACAAAGAGACAATAATGCCGAGGAAGGCATAACAGATGTTCCCGTATTTACTCGCGTAATGAACGCACCCACAATTTCAGTTGACAATTTCCACAATATGGTTGCACACCAAATTTTTGTTTGGGTTGCAATTTTCTTTCATGCTTGTCATTAGCACATACTAAAAAAATTCAAGACATAGGCTACCTTTTCTACAGTAGCTTCTCATGTGAACAGTGAGACAGCAGCCATATTTTGTCGTTAATATTCTTATCGACGATTTTTTTTTACGCTTCGGTAGTAGCTTGGTGCAATATCAACGGCGGCGGCGCGGTCGTCGTTCGAGGTTGCCACGAAGTTGCCAGAGTGTGTCGTAGTGTTGTCGCGCACACTTCAGGGCACTCCTCGAGATCACAGCAGATACCACTGCTAATATGGGTTAATATTGTACTGATTTATCTTGATGGAACATCAAAAATAGGCTATTTTATTGGGCTAGATGTGTCTACAGCACTTTCACTACTTCCTGAGCACTGCAAACTGCGATGCTGTTGCTATTAAAACCATTACCACAGCCACTCTGGGGATCGGGCGTGTGCAACATGAGTGTCCTGAATCGAATTACCTGGTACAGGCTAAATTCATGATTGACAAGTTTTGATGCTACACAATATAAAATTGGCTGTCACATTTGGTCAAGATGATTGTCACGTACGGATTGTATTGTTACGTCACTTTGATGTTGAAGAAGGCTCGAGCGGGATTTGGAAATGCTGAACTCTTAGTTTGGCATGTAGTTGTGCCTGGAAAATGAAAGGTCAAGTGATTCAAGCTGTACGTTGATGGTGGCAAAAACAGGATTGGTTGTCAAGTAATTTAACCAGCAGTAACGTGCGTCGGCATTTTATACCTGTAGTATCGAAGGTTTCAGCGTTGGCATTGATTGCCGAGATAGTTCCAGATAGCTCTTCTGTTTATGTTCTGCACTCAAGCTTATTAGATCCTAAACTAGTCTGGAAGGTTGCCAGTCATTTGGGCGCAGTTTGCACAAACAGTGGTTATCTGTAAAGGACCGCTTACATAATATACAAATGTAAGGCAGTATTGTTCATTGAAGCTGGCAGGCTTTTTGTGTGTATATTTCAGTTTGTTCTTACTGTGTTCTGTTTCTTTCTCTATGGCTACTGTTGCAGAGGCGAGCCACCCGTGACGTTGCAGAGGGCTCCCAAGCCTTGGACACTGCATCTCAGTTAGATGACAGCCAGCTTGGTCAGGGAGCTCTGGACGAAGACGAAGTGGTGCCACCCGAAGCAGTCACCCTTGCAGCTGCACCCAGGGACAGCGAGCGAGAGCTGCCCTGTGACCAATTACTGGGCATAGACCAGGCCATTGTGCAGTGCGTCGATCGATGTGGTGAGTTGACATGTGTCTTTAGGTTATACAGTCGAACCCTGCTACAACGAAACTGACCGGGCACGGAAAAAGTTTTATCAAGCGAAAATTTTGTTGTAATAAAATAGAAAAAGAAATGTCGCTGATCTGAGCTAGCAAAACAAAAGAACGTTTATTCTCAAAATTTAAAAAAATGTCTGCTGCTTCCTATTCTTTCTCAGCAGCGTCACGAGGTGATTCTCACCCATGCGTAGCGAGGCCATGGTAAAAAGCACGCTGAAACAATGCCTAAAACTGCTTTCGTGAACTAACCAAACAGTTGCATTAACACTATAACACCAGCAGCTGTCTGCCGTCAAAAGTATCCGACAATGCCGAGGTGGAGGCAAGGTATCGTGGAGCGGCGACTTTTGCATTATTTTATGCCATTCTTATCATCCATCACTCGCGGCTAGCTGATTTTGTTGATAATGCAGATAAACAGCTGCTCTGATTAGTTACCACACTGGCCAAGCGCGAACACAATGATAAGCATTGGAATCGGAAAAGGCATCGTGCCACGGTTGCACCCAGCAGCTGTGAGAAGGGAACCATGAACTGAACGACTGAGCTTCAGCTTCGGATGGTCTTCGGCTCAAAAGCAAGCCAGTGGCAAAACAAAAGCAGGGCAGTCTCATTGCCATCATTATCGAGCAATGGTGGCACCCATGAGCAGCGGCGGCATAGCAACGGTTTCTGGTAGTGCCAATGCGTGTTTACGACATAGTTGACGCATTTTCAGGCTCTGAAAATGCATAGAAATGTTAAATATTGGGTTTACTGCATAGCAATAAGTATCTGAGCCTGCAATTGCATCGTAAAATTTCGTTGATGCGGGACGATCGAAGAAAAAGTGTTTGTTGTGGCGACAATATTGCTTATGGGGAGTCGTGAATTTTTTATTGTAGCGGAAATTTCGTTGAAGAGGCTTTCGTTGTAGCAGAGTTTGTCTTTAAAATAAATGAAAGAAAGGAGTTGAAGGACTCATTTTTTCTTAGTTTTACACAACCTTAACGAGAACCAACAGACAATTGAACTAAAGAATATTAGGGCATGTCAATAGTATTAATTGCAATGGAAGTCTGAAAAAAATAAAAGTAAACGAAAAGACAGCTTGTCGCTGTCGGGGACCGAACCTGCAACTTTTTGATGCATCCGATGCTGTACAAGTTGAGTGTCTCGGTATCCACTTTTATATGTTCATATTCAATCATGGCCCCTTTACTTTGCTTGATTTGACTGTCTGTTTATTCTCATTTAGGTGGTGTCCTTGTAAGTTGCAATATGTAAAGGTATATTTTATGCCCATAACATTTCCTCTGTTCCTGCTGCCAGTGAAGTTCGTTACTGCCTGATGAGTCTGCTTGCTAAATGGTTATTTTCGAGAGAGCAAGAACAAGTGGGGAAAAAGCAAAGAAATGGCTCGACCTTGTTCATTTTTTTTTTTGTCTGACATGGCACGAGAACGGGAGTAGGGGTAAAGAGGAAGGCATGAGTTTACACGCTTGAAATTTAATAAACATGACGGGTGTGCTTGTTCGTAACATGTTTTATTTGCATAGGTATCGAAGTACAGTAGAAGTATTTGTAATTCTTTGTTTTGCTTTTTCAAAGAACAACGTGGTGTGTACTGTTGTGGTGACAATATTGGTAAATCAGCACAATAATTTATACATTTCACTAGACAGCTATACACGACGTGCTTTGATACAGCTCCTCTTAGGACATGAGAGCATTGTGCCAACGGTCATGGAGCACTACTTTTGGCATTTATACTTGTTGCTGCTAAATTTTTACCCGGTGTTTAAATTTAAGATATGTCACAAGAAGATGTTACTGTTTGGGGCTGAGACATCATTTGTTTTATTTTTTTGTGTTAATGAGCTCTTATGCCAAAACTTTCATAGCCACACATGTTGAGATGCTTGTTACATTTCTCTGCGTGTCCTGACATTCAACGATCTTTCAACGGCTCAGCTTGGGAAGCTTGGGAATCGAAAACCACGCCTTCTGAAAAAAGTGGGGTTTCTGCTTTGCTTAGGATGTGAGGTAGCTAACTTTTCAAAACTGAATAAATGAAAATTTCAAGCTCTTTCTCTCTCTCTTTCAGACGGGGAGGAGCTCAAGCGCAAAATGTTCAGCTGCGTGCTCGTAGTTGGAGGTGGCTGCATGTTTCCCGGCATCCACACGTGGCTGCAGAATCGCCTCTCCGTCCAGATACCCATCATGTACCGACCTGAGCAGATGGAGATCATCACTAGGCCTAGAGTGAGAAGGCTTTCCAGCTTATCTGTGCTGCACTAATTACAGTGTTTCTGAAATAGGTCATCACAGATCAATGGATAATAATGTAAGATAGTACAGGCTTGGCCCAGTTGATACACAATTAACGAAGAAACAGTACTAAAAGATAAATGAGGAAATAGGTAGAAAAGAACACGAAAAAGACAGCAATGCCACATCTTCTTCTTAGTTCTCATAGTTGTGCTTTAACGCGGTTTACCTATTAATGTTGTCAATATGACGTCATTGTCATTTTTTTGGAGTATGATGTGAAAGCCCAAGTTTTATATTAATTTTCCTGTCTTGTGCTAAGCGATTTTTATTCTGAGAAAATCGAGAAGTAACATTCCATTAATTTCTTATTTTGCCTGCATAATGCGACAAGTGCATTTGTGGCAAGTTGTCGTTTATTTTTTTGTCTATTTTCTTTCTCTTACATGTTGGTTTTAAAGTCAACTAGCGTTGCCTTATAGGGCTTCACAGAGCATCTTTTAACTGGTAGCACCACCATGTCCCCTATTAGGGAACATTAGAAAAAGCATAGCTAGGCTTCCTTTATGCGAATAACGAAAAAGCAGAGCTGCACAGTTCCTGTCATTCATCTTGCTATGGATAGATTTTCTTAATCCTTTTAGACGTGCCTTTTGAGGAAAAGGCTGTAAGTGCATCAACTGTGCACAACATTGTTCTGAGGCACTCTTAATTTTATTGCAACCAAAAGAATGAAGTAATGAGTTGGCTTATGTGTTTAAGACTAATAAATTATAATGAAAATGTCATAAAGTATCTATATTTGTCCTGAAGTCATTCATGTTTTTTCACAATAAATAGTACCAAATTTTGGAATAGACATATACTACAGCAACTGTTTTTTCGGTTATGTTAATTTCATACAAATAAAAATTATTTTTATCATGCAGCTTGCAGACAGTTGCTTGTCTAACGGCTCATCGATTGTGGTAGTGCCTTCAGCAAAGCTGTCATCTGTTGCACAACACTGCCAAAGGAGGTTCAATAAATGAAGAAACCTTCATCATCCTGAAGGTTGAGTTCACTCAAACCTCAGTGTACCTTGCTCTTTTTAAGTCCCTAGCCAGCACAACTATTGAAAAAAATATGTTGTCTAGCGAAGAATGCTGGACCATCTCCCCGAAGGCAACCCTGATGGGATGCTAAAGAGCAGTGCTGCGAACGGCGTTGACCCAGTTGAAACAGACATCGACGTGGGTGCCGGAAGATCGGTTTGAAGCGGAACTCTGTGTAGTGTTTACACGAGTAAATGACGTCATGATTCGCAAACACACTCAGCTTCGCTAATTGTGGCCATGCAAGCGATGGCTGCTTTAGGCATAATCACATTGGTGGAAGTTTTAGCGGGCAAAGGAGCGTCGTCTTCCGACGTGCTCTCTATCGCAGATAAACGAGCCAAAAGAGAGTTACCACTCGTTGTGCACTCGAGTGTCGCGAGCAGTGGAGAAGGTGAAGCGAAAAAGAAGTGACACGTACAGACATGTTTCAACGCATACATTAGGTGTGCGTCAGGTTTATTGCGTGTGAACCGACGAGTCGGCAGTAGAGGAGCAAGCGCATGGCAGGCGAGGGAGAGAGTCACGTCATCGCACACTGCGAGGGGAGCATGGCCTCAATTGTGTGGAGGGACAGCGCTACACAGGCTAGTCAAAGAGCTGCTTCGCATCTAAAAGAGATGTGCACAATCGTGCTCAAGGCTTCTTAAAGGGTTTACTGAATTACTGCAAAGAGCTTTAGGAAACTCATTAGAGGTATGCAATTATGATAACGTGGCTGCCGTATTGCATTGGAACAAATGGTACTAGGACATTGATCATGGATATATAACAACAAATGACAGACTCTTGTATTCCTGTTGTTGTCTTAATTATCTTTTTTACATGTCCTATTGCTGTGGTATGCTTTATTGCAGTTCAATAGGACAGACTGCAACCGTCATCACAGTTGCCGACCTGTATCCGTCAACCCTTCAAATTCTTTTGTAATGTAAGCTCCACTGGCCGAGGCTGAGTGGTCTTGTGTGGCTTATCGAGAGCCATGCTGCGAATGCGAGAGGAGCAGTGAGGTCACACGGTGCACAGCTGGTGCGCTGGAGCCGCCACCACTACCGCCGCGCTCCTCTCCAATCTGCACATTCTAGAAGAGTGATGTCATATCCGCGGCAGACACACTGGCGCCAGCGCACACCCAGTCTGTGCGCCTCCGTTGTGCAGTGGCTGTCTGATGCTGTGCCTTAGCCGCTTGATAGTGCCTCTCATTTTGCGCATATGCACAGAAGTATCAGTGAGGGTATACATTGTTATGCCTGCGAGTCCACATCGAACGTCCATGCCTCTGAAAAAGGCAATCTGTGTCAAGGCCAGCACGCGAGCCCACTTGACGCAAACAACTCAACGGCGTCATCACGCGGCGGCGCCTTCCTGTCTGGCGAGTCTTACGCAATGCGTGGCGACGTCACTCGTCCTTGGCTGCAACCACGCGCAGCGGCTCGGGATTCAATGAGAATGACGCAGCCCAGCGGCGACCTCATTGGAGGATTCTGTCCTCACGACCAGCGGCACTTCTGGTTGGACATTTGGTTACTCAAAGAATCCACCCAGTGCTTATAAAAAAAAAGCCCTGCGGCGCGTCGCAAGTAGTAGACCAATGTGTCCGAGAAGAATGCTCGGCCCTTCGAGTCTCTAAGCTGTCGGCCCCAGTGCCGAATTGTAACGCCTCTGTATATATGCTGTACATAAACCTTGTTTAACTCACCGTCGTCTCGTCCGCTCGTCTATCAGCTCTGCGCAAAAGCAGTCGGGAGCTGAGAAACCTACGGTACCAAACGGCTGGTGACCTTCCCGGCGGAGTTCGAAGCAGTGGGACCTTCGGGACTGTGTTGGCGTCGCCGTCTTTCGTAACAGTGGTGTCAGCGGTGAGATTTCGTGGCGCCCTTCGTAACGTCGTCGGAGGCACGCTTCGTAACAACATATACCGGGCCATCACCAGTGTGGTATACCCATAGAGAAGGAGAGCGAAATTTATGCTTAGTGGCGCAGAAGAGAGAATAAGCTGCACTCATGGTATTTGAAGTATTGCCTGGCAATTATCGGTTGAGCGCAGCAAGAACGAACAGAAGAAGGCTAAACGTGCTGCCAAGACACCGGAGCAAATGGACAAACGTCTCGAAAAGCGGAATTGCCAAGAGGTAGCTCACGCTACGTATAACAGGGCGCAGCCAAGTTAAGCCAGTGCCGAACATTTTATCTTGTGTAACTGTGCAAGAAAGCAGTCTTCGTGAATTTTTCAATTCATTTCTGAGCTTGCAGCCTGACCCTACTTTTCGTGATTCTACAACTTTCCATAAAATTTTCAAAGAGCACGTCTGCACACCCTGACTGCTCTTTGCTATCTTCGCAGTCACTGTGCTGGATGCCTTTCTCTCCTTCAGCTCGCTGCATTGTTCTCTACCAATTTGGATGTATCAACGTATTGTTCTCCGCGAAATCACGAGAGCCATAGGCTAGCACTTGCGATCATATCTTTAAGGAAACGTGCATACAAGCTTTATCTCCCTGGTCCAGTTCACTAAAGTTCAACATATTAAAACAGGTTTGAATGTGTAGTTTGCGGGGCCAGTTTGAATTCGAAAATCTCATTGGTTGTTATACAAAGTGCCCCAGCTATCTTTAGCCGGAGTTTAAAAATAGGCTGACACACGTTTTGACGACACGATCAAATGCATGTTGCTGACTGTTGCCTTCAGTGAGTCAGGCTGTTGATTGTGTTCTGATTAATTGCCTAATTAGTCCAATTTAATTAACCACCTTTTCAAACGATGGAGATGAGCCAAAATTTACAATGAGGAAGTTGTAGATTGGTGTACAAAATGTCTGGTCAGACAGTTTTAAAGTTTATATCTGTTAATTATTAGTCTTTTTCAACTAACTACAAATGCCTGTAAGCTACATGATCATGATGAATCAGTGCGAGGGAAGCTTATCATTCATCCGTGGAACATTAGGGAGCACTAGAATCGCAACATGCATAGGTGTGCATGTGGGTTTTTCACGTGGTAATGCTTTGCATTTTGTGGACATTTGTGTTTACTTGAGCAACAGTAATAATTGCTTAATTAGTAATTGCTATAATTCAATGTTTTCAATGTTAAGCATCTCTGTGTACTGTCTTGTCATTTTTAATGGTGGCTGAGTGGTTATGGCTGTACTGCTGAATGCATTATTACATGCATACCATAACATCAGGCCCTGGTAGCAGTGTTAAATGTAAGGGGGAATGCAAAAATACCGACGCACATTTATGTTAGTGCAAGTTAAACCGCCCCAACCATTTGTAACTATCCTACTTATATCCTGCATGTTTCCACTAGTAAGAAACTATTGTCGAATGAATTAAGAGGCGATCAACCCAACATTCTACATCAAGGTGGTTTGAATAAGTATGTCCAAATTTCAAGAACAATGCATGAGGTTTCTTCATTTTGTTCACTTGAAAATCACTCAACTTGCTGGGAATTTACTGCTTCAGTGCAGTGCACGCTCTATCGGCATCACTGACAGGCAATGAGTATGAAGGAATGTTAGGGCAACGCGTGTACATCCTGACTGTTGTTTTATTTCCAAATTGCAGGACACAGACCCTCGGATCACGACGTGGAAAGGTGCTTCCATAATGAGTTGTCTAGACTCGGCTCAGGAGCTTTGGATTCGGCAGGCCGAGTGGCAGCGGTATGGGGTTCGCCTGCTCCGAGAGAGGGCGCCTTTTAACTGGTAGAGCCATCATCCCTGTGGCCTGCACATGTTACGATGAGCGGGCCATCCTCACAAGAAAAGTTGAGCCACTCTTGGAATCAGTACATGCCAGGGTGCAAAAGCATTGCAGTACCATCAGGACTGTTCAATGCTGCTTGATATGACTCTTATTCTTAATTTGCCAGTCACCATTGAACAGCACAAAGAAGTGTTCATTCAGTCATTATGGTGTGCAGGAACTGGAATCCTGGAATGTGCAAGTGAACCTGGACACTTCATTATTATTCATGAGAACTGCATTTATGTCATGCTTGTTTACGCATACTTTTTACATGATTGGTGATGAGTGTAAGTCTGCTGTAATATTTATGAACTGCGTGTGTAATTATCAGTCTGCTCTCATTGTGATGGTTTGTTCTCATTCTCAATCATTTCAGTCTTCAACATTATGACAAGGGATCATTAATGTACAGAGAGAATTATTAAAAAAGTCTTCTGGCTTTCATGTCTCTGTAAATTTATCTGCCTAAATGTAGAACTGCATGTGCAGGCATTTAATGTGCTGCTGATGTAAAATTATCTATTTTCTTGGCAGCAATAGCTTCGCTGTCTCAGGTTAAAAGTAGCGATGTGCAATTACACAAAATTTTGAATACTTTTTATATAGCGCATGCTATTGAATTCTCACTGAAATTTTACTATTCAAACTTTTTGAAAACAAATATAGTCCACGTCAGATTGGCTGTGGCCCCTTCAGGTTTTCAATATGCTTCACCTCATCACAGTTTCATAAGGTGCCAAAGCTGCCTTTCTGGCTCTGCTGCAGTCGTAAGTGAATTGATTCAAGAAAATGATAGATGTGGCCGAGGTGCGGGCTCAATTAATGGTTTGGACCTGAAGTTTAGACAGGAAGTCCAAAAAATTGGACACCGAAGATATTTAGCATTCAAAACTTCAGATGTTCTTATGCATCGACGTCTATGAGGCAGATCTGGAGCTCAAGACCCGAGGGGAGCACACCCTTGTCTGCCACATCAATTCAGCTTCCACAGTAATTGAATTAAGAGGAGATGTTGAAGAAATAGCATTTCTGTCTATTTAGTGTGAAGTGTTGTTGGCAACATTTTAGTTGCGAATCATGGACATAAATACAAATCGGCCTCAGCATTGCCTCATTCTTGATTAAACAACTATCGAACACTGCCCTACTAATGCTTCATCAGCCTCGCCAAAAAAAAAAAAATTTTCATAGTGCTTTCTCATAAAAGTGTGCTTAGGAACCCTCCAACTTTTTTTTTCAGCGATTTCGCTTTGAAGTGTTAAAAAAATATTCGAAAAATATTCGATTTTATTCACACTCTCGTATCAATATTAAAAATTGCTTCACACCAAAAAGTTTGCTATTTTCTCAGCTCTAGTAAAAACCCAAAAAATGACTTCTTGCCTGAATCTGAACTTCGCATATTTGCATATTTGCTCATGATCATGTTTATCGCACTGTATCTTATACAAATGACCAAATTTTGCTTCAAAGTGACCTCAACAATATTCAAAAGTGGCATGATGACTGGCTAAAGTTTCTAAATCCCTCTAAGTGCAAGGTTATGTTAATCACATGTTGTTGCTTTCTCTTTATCTCATTGTATGTAATACATGATGAACCCATTTAATCATTCAGATCAGTTAAATACCTAGGCATCACTATATCTAGGGACTTTGATTGGTGTTTACATATTAGCAACATCATAGCATCGCTAATAAAAAGCTGGGATTCTTTAAACATAACTTAGTGCATACACACCTTCCGTTAAAACTAAGCTCGAGTACACTCCTTTTATCTGGTGCCCACATGAATCTTGCCTCACAAATGCCCTTGAATCCATTCAGAATTGTGCTTTTAAGTTTGTTCACTGAGAATATTTGTACTTCATCAATGTATCATCATTAAAAACAGCCTCTCATTTGCCATCTTTTTTGTACAGGCATCACATTTCCAGGTTATCATTATTTCAAAGATTTTTTACAGTTCCCTTGCCCTCCAACTGTATACATCTCAACACCAGTGCGAGTTTCACATCGCACCGGTCATTCCATATTTTCATGTTCTTTTTTTTCATGTAGTTGTTAATTGAAACGGCTTTCCCTACGGCATCGCTGCTATCACCAGCTCATTTTAAGTTCATGTCCGCATTTCTCTCACCATAACAATTTTCTATTTTTTGTAATCCCATGCTTTATTCAATACCTCTGTTTGGGACCTTAAAGGAATGTAGAATGCATGAATGAGTGGATTAATGAATGAGTCCATACCTTTTCAGACCGTGCTAAAGAAGCTGTGTAAACTAATACCGAGCTAAGACCACTGTATCTAACATGACAATAATTAGCAGTGCACTAAATAAAACCAATATAATCTGGACCGCACTCGTGAAGGTCATGTTATCACAGTTATACTAATGAGCTACATGCTAACTACAACCTCAATTAAACTTGGAATCATTATTACCATGGTAATTAAAAAAATTTCATTTTAAGACCTATTCACTTTTACAATCTTAAGACCTAGGTAATTATGGCACAATTCAGAAAGAACAGGTGCACTTTGAAGCCCACCGACCAGACCGAGAGTGTGCTCTTCTGATGACACTAGCCTTGTAGTGCAAGCTGACCAAATGATGGTATATGCAAAGAACCTGGTGCTTAGCGTCCACTGCATGAGATGCTTGACAGTCACATTGGCACCATGACAAGTCTCGATATCACGTGAGTGAATGAACTTTATTTCGTGATCCAACATGTTTGTGGTCCGGGCTAGACCGCACAGGGATATACCAGAAGACTTGTCTTCGTACAGCCTCCCTGGCCTGCTGGACAGACCATTTTTGGTATGGGACTTCCGAGCTGAACAGCATTAGCCACCACTGCTCCCAGAGAGCCTCAGGATAACATGTTGATATGTTCGGAGATTCCCAGAATATATGTTTATCAGACGCCCTTTCGGTTATGCATAGTGTCAATTTATTGTCCGGGTAAGTGTTGGGAGCTCTGGTAGCCCCTGTGGAGGTCACAGGGTTGGGGTAGGAGTTTGTCTGTAGCTGTTGGTATGCATATGCTTGTTGATTGTCTATACTCGAGTGAAGTGCTGGATAGACGTGCTTTGTTTTTCTGTACTGTTGTATTCTGTGCAGCACGTAAATCGGTCTTTGTGTGGTACGTCAGCAGCACCAGGGATGATCACCGAGCTGTCTGGTTAAGTGGCGCGCTGGTAAATTCTCTCGCGACAACTCGTGAGCCGTCTTGTTCGCACTGAATATATCAGTCTCTGTGTGCTCCAGGAACCATCTTAGGTATTTGCGCTCATCTACTCTTTGTAGTTCTTGGCTATTAAGGCAAATTCTCAGGGCTTGTTGTGAGCCAGAATTCTTTTTTGAAAGAGAGGAGGCAAAATCTCAGAATCAACGAGCTTGCGAACCCGAGTGCACATATCAATCAGTTTGATTGAAAGATTAAGCCGGCGGCGAAGGTTGGATCTACCCACCGCTGCTCTTGATGAGGAACAGTGCTCACGCCGGAAGGCTAGCGAGTGCTGCAATTCATATATAAGCTTAATCGCACGGACTAAGCACAAACTTGTGAAGAACGAAACGTTATATAACAAATGATTCCTCCTGGCATTAGCGGCGAGAAATGTTACTACTCAATTGTTATTGGAGGCATTGTTTCTACTGATTAGTTATTGCAGAAAAATCTTCAGGCATGTAATGTAATTCATTGATGATTGGCATGGGTGGTTTATTGTCCCAAAACAATCATATGATTATAAGAGATGCCGTAGTGGAGGGCTCCGGGAATTTTGACCACTTGGGGTTTTTTAAAGTTCACCCAAATCTTAGCACACTGTCCTACAGCATTTTCGCTTCCATCGAAAATGCTGCCACTGCAGCCTGGATTCAGTAGCCGAATACCTATGCACTAGACCATTTCGGCGGGGCTGTAATGCAAGTCCGTCTATTTCTTTATCTGTAATATTCGATAAAAGCGAAATGAGCTGCACGAGAATGCTGCACGTGCGCCCTCGTTGCCTTCGAGAGTGTAAATGTCCATGCTGCACGTGGAACGAAAGAACTTGCCTCAAGGAGGACGTTCCATTGCAAAATTGATACTGCGACACCCACGTGGGCGTTGCTGCACTGTTAGTGTGTTTGCTGAGTGGCAGTGCTGGTGTATTCGCACGCGTTGTTCCGTATATATTAATCTTTCTCAAATGCCGCACATTAAAGCCCCTATACTTCGTAAAAGTTCCACCATCTGCTCTCCCCTTCACCGCGTTCTCTTCGGCGCGTTGCTTTTTAAATTCGAAGCATTTCTTAGAGAACTTCGGTTACATTGGGCGTATCTATCTATCTATCTGTCTATCTATCTATCCATCTATCTACCTATCTAGCCGCCTATGACTTTTCGCTCTCCAGGCCGTTTGGTTACTAGTATCGATACCAAACTTGGTATGATATACCTTGACTGTATTACGAACATAACTGACTAATCATAACATGAAAATCATCACATGTGTGTCATGAATAACATGATTTACATTTCATGATCCTGCAACTCTTGCAGTGGTTTCATTCACATGGCATGTTGCAAAACTGGTATGGTATGGCATGATTGCATGGCGAACACAAGCGACAGACCGTAACATGAAAATCACGAAATGCGTGTCATGTAACATCACTACATGCCACCTTCATGATGCGCTCGCGGCCGTTTCGCTAGCGTCACATATACCAAAGTTGGTGTTACAGTACGTGAATAGATGACGAAGGTATATGTGTCTGGTGCAAACATGATAACCATGAGATGCGTGTCATGTAACAACATGGCTACATGCCACGCTCATGATGATCTTGCGGCGGTTTTGCTAGCGTCCCATATACCAAATTTGGTATTGCAGTACGTGAATGGATGACAAGGGTATGTGGCTGGTGCAAACATGATAACCATGAGATGTATGTCATATAACAACATGGCTACATGCCACGCTCATGATGATCTCGCGGCCGTTTCGCTAGCGTCACATATAGCAAATGTGGTATAACAGTACGTGAATGGATGACGAAGGTATGTGACTGGTGCAAACATGATAACCATGAGATGCGTGTCATGTAACAACATGAATGCATGTCACAGTCAAGGCACGAATACATTTCGACGTGATGTGGTGCGCGTGCTCACCGGCGTTCGTTTTGTCGGGTCACGCCGGCGTTGCCACGCCAGGCGCCGATCCTGCCATATACTCGCAGGCACGCGCCGCGGTGCGCTGCTTTGACATATGCGCGTTTCAGCAGGTCCGGCGTCCCTCCGTCACAAAAAGAGAGAAACGCATTGTTTTCTGGGTAGCGCATCGGCGCGAAATGCAGCATGTCGCATTTCGCGCCGGTTGCCGTCGGTCCACACCGACGGACGCAGGTCACGCCTAACGTCAGACTATAGAGTGCTCGCGTTTTGCTAACGTAGCGTCGCTGTGTCAGCGTGCGCGCGCGTCAACGCTACATCAATGGAGTCAATTGGGCCCGTCATGATGCGCTCGCGGCCGTTTTGCTAGCTCCTCATATACCAAATTTGGTGTTACGTGGCGTCAAAGAAGGAAGAAATATGACTGCTGCAAACATGATAATCCTGACACGCGCGTCATGTAAGAACTTGGCAACATACCACGCCCATAGCGTGCTCGTGGCCGCTTCGCTAGCTCCACATAGACTAAATTTGCTATCACGTGACGTGAATAGATGACGAATGTAAACGACACGTCGAAACATATGATAATCATGACACAAAATTGATGTACGGCATCATTTACTTCCACCTCGTAACGTTGTGCTGATTTTGAAGTGACATATCAACATTTCTCATTGATGCTTCGCATATCATCGATTCCTGCTAAACGTGGGATCTGCCAGTTTTTTTTGTTGTTGTTGTTTTTTCTTTCGCTTGCGACAGTGGCGCGCACCGTAACGCGCCGCGAGCGTGCTCTGGCGGAGAGAGGAGGAAGCGGGGGCTTTACAGATGGATGGATGAATGAATGGATATGGTTAAACCCTTTAGATCGGGTGGTGGCTAGCGCCACCAAGCCGTAATACTTAATGAACCCAAAACTATATTTTTTTTTCCTTAAAAAGTGAGTTTGAGGATTCGTACTTTGCAGTGAAGAGTTTAATTTTCACTCGTGCCTTGACTTTAGCCACCAATCAGATAACCTCCTTCTAGTTAAGTCTACTTGCTTAAAGTCTATTTTGCCCTCCCGGTCCCTAAACCCCAGTGCTTTGAAAAACTCTGCGCCATCATCCTGAACTATAGGGTGAAGCCCTTTACAGAACATTATTAAGTGTTCGGCAGTTTCTTCTTCCTCTCCACACGCACTGCATACTGTGTCTACCCCTTCGTATTTGGCCCGATATGTCTTGGTTCGCAGTACTCCCGTCCTTGCCTCAAACAGTAGGGAACTACCCCGAGTATTATCATAGATCCTTTCCTTGGCAATTTCCTGCTTAAAAGTTCGATAGATTTCTAGTGCGAACTTCTTAATCATGCCCATTTTCCACATGACAGTCTCCGTTTCCTTCACTTTCTTCTTAACCGATAGTTCTTTTTGGTTTGGCCACCTGCTGTTTTCTAAGTATTTACCAGTCAACTTCCTGGTTCGCTTCCTCCATTTTGTATCGACATTCTTCATGTACAAGTAGCTGAAAACCTTCCTAGCCCAACGCTCCTCCATTTCTCTCAATCGCTTCTCAAATTTTATCTTGCTGATAGCTTCCCTGCCCTCAAATGATGTTCATCCCATATCACCTTGTACTCCCTGATTTGGTGTATTCCCGTGAGCTCCTAAAGCAAGCCTACCTATTCCACGTTGCTTAATTTCTAATCTTGCTTGAACTACTGATCTCATGCACAAGACCGCATTGCCGAACGTCAGCCCAGGAACCATGACCCCTTTCCATATTCCTGTCACAACATCATACCTATTGTAATTCCACAGTGTCCTATTTTTCATCACTGCTCAATTCCTGTTACCTTTAGTCGTCACGTATATTTCGTGTTCCCTCAGGTACTCGGTCCCATTGCTTATCCATACGCCCAAATATTTGTATTTATCTGTTATCTCTAGCGTGACCTCCTGTATCCTAAGCTCACTACTTTCGTTGTCATTAAAAATCATGACTGCTGATTTTTCCTTACTGAATATAAAATCTAACCTATCTTCCTCATTACCGCAAATGTCCATCAATCTCTGCAAATCTTCCTTGTTGTTGGCCATTAGCACTATATCATCTGCGTACATTAATGCTGGTAGTGCCTGATCAATTAGTTTTCCTTGTTTGACTAAAGAGAGGCTGAAACCCAGCCCACTTCCCTCTAATTTTGCCTCTAATCCTTGTAAATACATCATGAATAATAAGGGTGACAGGGGGAACCCCTGCCTAAGCCCCCGTTTTACCTCTGCAGGCTTGGATACCGCGTATGTGTTTGCGACGCCACACACGTTTTTGTGGCCGCTTTACCCAACGCTGCTTTCTCGCTCTCCGCACTGACTTCCTGCCATGACCGCACGGGGTGAGCTGGACATTCGGTGCCATTTTACTGGGGCGCCCAATTAAGGAGCTCGTCGCCATTCTGCATAGTGCCTCAGAAATCTTCGTTAAGTGTCGCGGTGACGGCAACTAAGACACTTATTCAGGAGAGCCCCACTGTAACGTTCCTCACCGTTGCGTTTTCCAGGCTGTTCCGTCGTTTCCCACCGGTGCCGACATAGCCCCCACAGGAACCCCGCTGTTCCATCACAACTGCGTGACCAATGTCTTATGATACGTCGCGAAGTGCTCTCCTAGCTGGCTGAGTGACCACGGAAAAGGGCGTCCATGTTCACATTTTACGAAGCTTAATAACCAAGCTTTCCGTAAGCTAAGCCTGATGACTGACGCAAGCGACGGGCACAATGTACTTTCTGTAACCACGAACAAAAGAATAGCCCTCCAGATTCGTATACCCAAAATAAGGTGTAGGACGTAACTGTTTATGAACTTGTTTTTAGCGCTCGCTAAAAGTCACATTAAAAATTTTGTAATATCTCATTGAACTCAAGGATGCTGTGTATCAATATGCCCGCCCAAAAATCGTGAAAAGACAGCTGTCGTTGTTGTCACAGTATACAGTAGTAGTAGAAAGAAGCAAATCTTTGCTATTTCTTATACATGGCCTAGAGAGATGGCGCACAGCTTCGTGTAGCCACGCACCCTCTCACAGGGAGAGGGCGCGACGCCGCGTCATAAAGCCATGCGCTGACACGCTGCAACGCGTACATGCGGTCAGACCTTTAGTCAGGGTCAGCCCTTACATATACGAGCGAGCTTACAGCTTCGCTGTACAGTGGTTTTCACTGCGTGGACCACGCAATTCGTTTTTTCTTCAGAGTTGTTAAAAATAAATCATTAAGTTACTCAATCACTCTTCTCAAATTGAGGTGCAAATCAAATTATCATAGTGCAGTCGCATCTGAACTTAAACAATATTGAAAATTTGGTCATAGTAATGATTCCTCAATGAAAGGACATCACTAGCGCGTGGTTTCTACAGACCGTGCGCACGTGCTTCAGAAGAAGATAGCTCTTGGAGGATGGCTGCAGCCCCAAGCAAACAGCTCGCTTCCGTTCACCGCTCTGACTCCGGTTCAAAGATGCCGTGGCTATGTGAGACGCAGCTTCCGTTCGGCGATGGTATGTTCCAGCTGACGATCGTATTGAGCGCAACCATCGCCATGGCGAACTACTTGCTCCACGGCCAAATATTCCTCCTTACGGCTGGTGTCATGGACCACTGGTGCAGACGGCCCGATTCCTTCGCGAACCTCAGCGTCGACGAGTGGAAGCAGTTGGCCATTCCAGTGGACAAGAACGGCGAGTACAGCCACTGCACGATTCGCGATCCGCCTGACGGAGGCGCAGAAGCGCGCGTCGTGCGCTGCTCGTCCTGGGAGTACGACTACACCCGATACGGGAACAACATCGTCAGCGCCTGGGACTTGGTGTGCGACCGGCTCTGGCTCGTCGACTTTGCGAGGTTCGTGTACTCGGCTGCTTGCGTGATCCCGCTAGCCGCATATGCTTCGTTCGCGGACAGCGTTGGCCGCCGGATGGTGCTCTTCATCACCATTCCCGTCGTCCTCATATCGGCCCTTGCCAGTGCCATGCCGAATGATTTGCAGTTTTTCATGATTGTGCGTGCCGTCGTCTCCGCCTCGACAAGTCTTCTGGTGCCACCTTCGATTACTTTGTTAGCCGATGTATCGACGATTGACAAGTTTCCGGCATACGTTGTGGCGGTCTGTTTGCTCTCGTTTATTCCAATGCCTGTTACGATGCTCGCCGCTCATCTCGGCAAGACAGGGTGGGTCGCCGTGCAGTTCATACTGATGATGCCAACGTGTCTGCTGATGCTGCTCTACTACTTTGTCGTCGAATCGCCCATCTGGCTTTTGGCAACCGGTCGTGTGAAGGAAGCCGAGCGAGTAGCTTTGCGTGCAGCCAAAACGAACAACGTTTCGGTCGAGGTTTGTCGTGTGCTCATGGCGCGTCAAATAGCAGACCTCCGGACACGTGGTTTGCACACAGTTGAAAGCAGTGGTCTCTGCAGTGGCAGACTGAGGGCGCGCACAGTCTTGATGTGTTGCATGGCGACGGCACTGTGCTTTGGCTTCGACACGTTCGTCACGAATGATGGCCTTCCGACGGGAGATGTTCCGGCGTGCCTAGGCTTTGCTCTGTCAGTCGTTGCGTGTGTCGCCACCATACCGTTTGTCAAGCACTTTGGTTTAAAAAACGCCGTGGTCGGATCGGCGTTGGGTTTCGCTGTGACGCTGACCGCTCTCGCTGGCACGACGTACGGCGGATGGCAAATGCTGAACGAATATTTGGTAGTCCCAATGAGGGCAGCGGGCAGCGTGTGTTTCACGTTCTTCTTGATTATGATTATCAAGTCCGTTCCCTTTTCGACGCGCTGCAGAGAAGCTGCTGCGATGGTTGCCTCTTCTCGATTCGGAGACACACTGGGACAGTTGATCCCACGTTTATTCACCAAGCAGAACACCGCTATGTGGCTCGCCATTTCGGGCGCTTTGATGTCGCTCTTTGTAATCGGTGCCGAACTTTTCCCCTGGGACTTTGATTACTGGATGCGACAACGCGAAAGCAGCTCCCACCGCCCATCGTGCGAAGGTTCCAAGCGTGCCATGCGTGAAACACTAGTGCGTCTGCCGAAAGAACCTGTGCAGCACCGGCCAATCAAGGCGAAAGACAGAGGGGCGCCAAGACTTTCTACAACGCAATGAAGTAGCGAGCGACCTGCCGTGTAATATGTGGACGCAACGGCAATATTTTCTTACATTGGTGTGATAGTTGAATGGTATCCCTGTGTGTGCTTTAATTTCAGTTTATATGAGCTCTTTGGCTCGGTTTCTTTACGATAGAAAAGTTTAATGTCGCTCGACTCGAAATAAACAATTATAAAAATCCATCAACAAATGACTGTTGATATCCTTGTTTGAGCTTTTTATTCAATCATATATGTGTGTGAATGAGCGCACGCTGTAATTTTTGTGCATTTTGGCGTCCTGCTTGTGAATTTAGTCACCACTGATGAGAAGCAGATTCTTGTCTCGCAGTTTTAATCACCCAAATCCGACCGTTCTGAGACTGACGTTCTTTTAGAGGCAAAGGTCTGAAGGCGTGAGTCTGTACATCCTCCGATGTTGCACGTAGCATCCACTGTGACAAATATCCGTTCTAGATTGGGTATGTGCCACAGGGGATGCGAGATGGGAGATGGCGGTACTTGGAGTGTTCACTAGATGGACGCGCGGACGGACGAACAGGCAGACTAGAAGATGGACGGATAGATGGATAGACGGACAGACGTATGAACGGGCGGACAGACAGATGGATGAACGGACGCACGGACAGACAGATGGACACATGGATGGTCGCGTGTACGGACGGAATCAAGAACGAATGGATGGATGGAAGCACGGACGGGCTCACGGATGCTTTGCCCCACTCATCATCATTCACTACGTGAATATGCTGTAATTTTTTTCAATTGAATTCTGGACATTTCGTAGCTTGTTACTAGCAACCCATTTTCAATTAACCTTTGCGCCAATTAAGGAGCTTATTCAAATGTAAGTGTACGATCAGCATCCCTCAACAGCGTCTTTTTTTGCGCCAAGAAACTTAAAGGTACTGACAACTAGCTGGAACGTGTGATGACATTCTGATGGAAATATGAGCATGAGTTACTGCGACACGTCCAAGCATGGATTCTGTGATGCGAGAATATAATTTGTACTTTTAAACTGCGTGCAAATTTAACGAAAATCTCCAGGCCTGCACGGAACTCGCAGCAAAGTCTCAGGGAAAGTTGAAAGAGTGGCCTTTCTGGAGCGCATCGCACTCAAGTCAAGTCAAGATCCTTGACGATGTGGCGCACACCTTCACTGGGGGATCGGCGAAGAACCGGATAGTTTTCATTAATTGCTTTCTTAATAACAGGCTAAGAATAATACAGGTACACATGCAAGGTACCCACTACCCTTAAATCGTATTTTTCCTGTGGTTAGGAAGCACGTACAATCATAGGCGTGCGCAGGGTTCCCTTACAAGGAGGCCAATAGAGAGGGGGGCGCTGCTACCCCTCCCTATTTCAATATATGGGACTGACGCCCACTGCTCAGATCACCACCGTTTCCGCTTGATTCAAATCCGGCTTCATTCCACAAGCTAAAATAATTGGTGAAGCGGTAAGGCGGCAGCTTCGCTATTTCGTCAGTGTCCGCAACATGTGGCGGTTTGATTTTTGTCTTATTTGAACACAAAAGTGTTTTATGCCGAGGTCCACCAAGACTTCAGTGACGCGTTTTCGTCACGGAGATGATGTCGAAAATTGCACATAAGCGGAAGAGAACTGAAAATTCTGTTAACGAGTTTAAACCCTAACCTCTAAGTCCGCTACAGCAGATATGTCGGGCACTCTATTCACAGTGCCATGCATGGACACATTGTTTTTTTTCGTTAATGCATGAAATCAATACCAACAGTTGTTTTGAACTACTCACAGCACAATTCGTCATGTTAGAATTACCTCATCGTACACAACACCTGCATTGTTACAAGCAGTATGAGGCAAGCACACACAAGCGTCCTGAAGGAGAAGCCACTCCTGAAGGGGGTCGAAAGTCTACTCTGTACGCTTTAAAAGTACGCATCTCATGTCTAAATCTGTCATCTCACAACGTTCTTGGTAAAGTGCAGTAATACATCATGATCGCGGCATTAGCGATTACTGCCTTCAATATGTCGTTTCTTAGTGTTCGTTCTATTGAGCACGTTTCCAATAGGAAAAGTCAATTTTTTCCAGCGCCTACCCCCAGGTGGCGACTTTACCCCAAGCGTCTCAGGCAGCCTTCATGTGCGCGCGTCTCCTTCTTTTAGGGTGCTAATGATGATGATAAAAACATTTTATTATGAAAAATCAACGAAAACGGGGAGGGTCCCTATTGCAGGACACATATGGTAACCTCTGCGACAACCCAGGCCCTGAGAACGAGGGCTCGGCAGGCCTGGTGTCAGCCTTTGACACGCCACTTGCCACATCCCCCCCCCCCCCACCCGCTAAAACCCAATGTTGCCAGTCCTGATTTCCATGGCAACAAGCGCCATTTTGGTTCTCGCGGCCAGGCGTTCATGCACCGTCGCACTGCCCCAGCTGCATGTTGGCACGAGCGTGCAAGCTGCGGTATGAGCTGCGTTTAAATACACCGTAGACCTACAGCTTCCACTACACCATCTCTCACGCTAAGTGCACCTAAAAGAACTTTGGAGTGTAAATTCCAGGGTGCTGCGTGCCGCAATGCAAAACCATGGCAACTGAAGACTGTCGCACTTCCCTACTTGCTCTAGTCGATGGAAACGCTGGATTACACAAGTGAAGCGAGATTGCTTGGAGTCGACTATATACTTCTCCCCGTGTTTTTGAGGTGAGAACCCTTTTTATCGCGACTGGATTGAGTATACTGCTGCATATTTCGTGATATTATTGATTTATTCATGTGATGAAAATCAGTTTGAACAAAGTAAACACGACAACTTGCACAGTGAAAAAAAATTGGCAGCATATCCACGCAGTGAATGATGGAGAGTGGGGCGAAGCATTCGTCCGTCCATTCGTTCTTGCTTCCGTCCGTCCATGCGTCCGTCTGTTCGTGCGTCCGTCCCTGGGTTCATCCATGCATCCGCCCCTGCGTTCGTTCATGTGTCCATCCATGCATCTGTCTGTGTGTCCGTTAGTCCATCTATTCAACACTCCAAGTACCACCACCTCGCATATTTTCATCACATATTTCCCATATCGAAGCACCACCATCCAGCGGACATTCCAAGGACTAAACGAGAGGTGGCACACGCACACTTTCTTACGGCTTGCGCTTCTGGTCTACTTCCCACCTAGCTTTAAACACCTCGAGTTCATGGTATATACTAGTTCACTGCATTCATGGCACTGCTGCCCAATGCTCGCTAAACCTTTCTAAAACCAAGGAGGTTACGCCCAGCGAGTATAACGTAGCAACCTTTTCCTGTCAGATAGTGTTCAATGTACATGCCAGTGGCTGCTAATGGGAAATGAGAGACAGGAGAATTCGGCTTTTACTTTCGTACGGCTTGCGCTTCGTATCTACGTCTCACCTTTAACCACCGCGAGTTCACGGTATATACTAGTTCATTGTATTCATGGCACTGCGGCTCAACGCTTGCTAAACCTTTCTAAAACTAAGGAGGTTACACCCAGCGAGTATAACGTAGCAACCCTTTCTTGTCAGATAGTGCTCAATGTACATGCCAATGGCTGCTAATGGGGATCGCAGCGTGCGCGTTAACTAAATGCCGAATGCTCCTGTCTCTCATTCCCCATTAGCAGCCATTGGCATGTACATTGAGCATTATTTTTTATTGTTCAACAACGCACAGAATAGATCTCTCACCGACACAACCTTGGAGGTCAAAATGTTATACTTGTTACATACTACAATGGCTACGAGGTATGAACGGGTGCCGCTGTAAGGAGCTTCGCCCCAAAAATGGATCAGGCTTCGTTCGGCTACACCGGGTTATGCGAGCGAAAGCTGGTTAACTTGAGTATACTTGCTTATCCTCGTAGTTGAAACGCGGCTCACCAATCGAATGATATGACTAGTCGAATGTGTTGTCCTGCATGCATGCACGATCGGCGTTTCATCGGTTTCCGAAGCCGTCACCGCATTCTTCGCGGGAAATGCCAGGCCCGTAAACCACCAACCACCAACTCGCGTCCGCATCTCCCTTTGCTGGCAAATGTTCGCGCTCCTGCACTTTCACTTTGGTCGCGGAGGAAGGGCATTTGGAGAGGTAGACAGACGATCCCACGAACGCGTTTCCTGTAGAACCTTGTAGCCTTGCACAGTTGCAACACAACCAAATTTTGTGTGACTTGCCATGGGGTATTTGTTTTTCCCTTCAATGACACGCGGAACCGCACCGAAAGTCACTCAACAATGACAAAAAGGATTTTGCTTTAAAAATATAGAATGCGACAGATTTACTTTTCGTGTCCGTCCGTCCTTCTGTCTGTCTGTCGGTCCCGAATGGTGCAGTATATGTGCACTAAGAAAGTCAGTTCTTGGCCCATAACTCAAATTTGTCCTATGGGAGATTGGCGCTGCATCGTTATTTTTGTCGTCCTTCTGTTTCATAACCAGCCACCAAGATGATTTCATATCGTGAACTCAGTTTTTATTTAGTGCTTGTAGAGAAAATGTGTATGGACTTTGTATATGGTCGGCGCAATGTATGACTTTTCACCTTATTGCTTTATAGTAGGCCCACTGCATGGACACAAGCTTTCAGCAAAGAAGGCAGGACGGTTTGAAGAAATTAAGGCCAGATGCTGTTTGGATGCTGTTTTCAATAAAATCTGACCTGGAAAGATTTGGTTTGTCCCTTGTTGCTCCCTTTTGCTTTTCTTCTAGCCTAATATACAGGCTTGTGGGGTTAGGGGGAAGGTTGGTGTACTATGATTGAGTGCCTATGTATACTTTTTCTTGCAATGCTTACAGCTTGCGAGGTTTTTAGGCAGTCAATTCTACAGATTCGCTCGCAGGAACTAAACTTGCTACAGAAAATTATAAAACGGTCGAAATCAATATTCAGGGTATGAGAAACGTGATAGCGGAGTTATGCGGTAAGAGGACATCGCCGCAGGCCACCCGGTTGTTTGATCTGCCTTTTCTGTCGTCACGGG